CATAAACAATACATAACATCCCACGTATATGGAAGATGACATGGACATAAACAATATATAACATCCCACGTATATGGAAGATGGTATGGAAATAAACAATACATAACATTCCACGTATATGGAAATGCTACGGACATAAGCAATACATAACATCCCACGTATTTGGAACATGTTATGGACATAAGCAATACATAACATCCCACGTATATGGAAGATGCTATGGGCATAAGCAATACATAACATCCCACGTATATGGAAGATGCTATGGACATAAGCAATACATAACATCCCATGTATATGGAAGATGCTATGGACATAAGCAATACATAACATCCCACGTATATGGAAGATGCTATGGGCATAAGCAATACATAACATCCCACGTATATGGAAGATGCTATGGACATAAGCAATACATAACATCCCACGTATATGGAACATGTTATGGACATAAGCAATACATAACATCCCACGTATATGGAAGATGGTATGGAAATAAACAATACATAACATTCCACGTATATGGAAATGCTACGGACATAAACAATACATAATATCCCACGTATATGGAAGATGGTGTGGACATAAACAATACATAACATCCCACGTATATGGAAGATGGTATGGACATAAGGAATACATAACATCCCACGTATATGGAAGATGCTATCGACATAAACAATACATAACATCCCACGTATATGAAAGATGGTATGGACATAAACAATACATAACATCCCACGTATATGGAAGATGGTGTGGACATAAACAATACATAACATCCCACGTATATGGAAGATGCTATCGACATAAACAATACATAACATCCCACGTATATGAACCAAACAACAGTCTGTGTTAAGAAGAATGTGATGATCAGCCTTTCAATGTCACTCCTGATTAACTGAACACTAATTAAATGTACGACACCCACCACCGTCTCAAAAATTAGCAAACGGCAAACGGTCGCCTGCTCAAGGCCTGTGTCTGCTGTCATGTCGGAAACGGAAGTCAATAAAAAAATGTTGCCATGACAAAACAAAACAAAGTGTTTGATTGGTTGCTGGATCAAACTCATCTCACACGTACAAAACTTTATTTTTACACGTGTTAAAAAACTATTTTACTATTTCAAAATCATCAAACACTGTATTTTAGTATACATGGAATATATATATATATATATATATATATATATATATATATATATATATATATATATATATATATATATATATATAGTATTATATATATATATATATATATATATATATAATACTATATATATATATATATATATATATATATATATATATATATGTGTGTGTTTGTGTGTATAGGAATGTGTAGGTGTATATGTATGTGTCTGTGTGAGCGTATGGGCATGTGTACATATATGTATATGAGTGCAATCGTTCCATACACAGGTGACCAGCAACAAGGCCGCACACACTGTCATGCTATATTTAGACACCTCTGACGTATAGACACGTTACAAATATTAGGGACGGTTACACTTGAGTGACTTTCAACCTTGACCTTAGAAACCAAACATGGTCTACGTGGGCTTATCCCGAGGGTCGGGCGGATGTGGAGGAACCAGCCCTACATCAGGTCGCGTGGAACTATAAATTGGAAGCACGTCTGGAAAATATTCCAAAGAAATTTGTTCCATGGGCTATGTGATCCAGAAGTTGACTTGATTTCTGAAGTTTTGTTTCATTGCTGCAAAGATTTTTTGTTTGTTTAACTCTGATTGACTTAACCAAAGTAAACATTTGCTCCTGTCGGTGATTTGTTTTCCAGGCTGATTTAACTATTCATCATCAAGTTTATTGATTCATCTCCAGGTAAGATTATCTTGATTTTTTTAAAGTAATCGACCATCAGGTTATTAGACGAGATTAAAGACTTTTTAAAAAAAAGTAGCTAAAATTAGTTTTGACCTACCTTATTTTGTACACAAAAAATATTTAATGTCTTAACGAGGTTAAGTTAAAGTAAAATATAGTAGATTCGTTTTTCTTCATTGTTCATAAATTTTTTATTTTTTTTTTAAAAATCTTTATGCAATTGTGAATTTAATTCAGAATCTAACATGATTTTTAATAGTTTAGTAAAACTCTAGCTTTTTACTGTTATGACACCTTTAATGTGTCTGTGATAAGATTTTGTTGAATGATTTGTCAGGCCTAACGTCTGACTCAGCTAGGAGCAGACGACCAAAGATTTGATGAGCTGAAGGACAGCGTCCAGCTAGTCTAGCAGGAAACATGTCCGCCAACAGCAGGGACAGCGCTGTCCACACAGCCCAGGGTGGGGAGATGCCCGACCCTCCCAGGGAATTCATCAACCACGCCTTTGACGAGGGTGATGAGGTCATCCTCTCCCCCTCAGCGCTGGGTAAGTCCTCGGCACTCCTCGGTTGATCCCGCACCAAATAAAATCCTCACGTTAATCCCGCACTGAATAAAATCCTCAGGTTAATCCCGCACTGAATGAAGCGTCCAACATAGATTAGGCCTAGCCAGAGACGTTGGATTAAATTTATCTGAAATAAATTAAGCCAAGTGAATAATCGTACTAGACCACATAACACACTGAAAAAAAAACGTTAATTTAATGTGAAACACATTAGAAAACAATGGATAAATTTATATCGACCAATGTGACAAAATATAAATAAGAGGAATAAATATATGCTAGACACTACTTATTGATACCTGACAACGTATTATAATATAATATAAAAGACCATGTGCGCACTTCTCTCTCTTTCTCACTCACTCTCTCTCTCTCTCTCTCTCTCTCTCTCTCTCTCTGTCCTCAAAATTTTTGAGACTATATAATCAGTATGTTCAGTGATATACGGAGAACTTAAAGATGCGGACTTTTTTTAAATGTATAAACTAAATTTTATTTAAAGAAGGAAAATAAAAATAAAGGCATATTCGAATGTAGAAACACATTTTTAATTATGCACCCGGAAAAGAGTTTATGGTTGTGACAAGAACGCAATAAGCAATGACGTCACATGTCACATGTTTAATTAAACTACCGAAAGTAAACAAAACTAATGGCGTCATCTTCCAATTTTAGAATATGAAGAAATGAACTATTTCATTCAAATTTGGTTTAGATCTATAGATCTACTTATCAAGACGTATCTACGCTGTGAATAAATGTATACAATTTTCTCGGCCGAAAGTAATAGAAATTAATTTTTTTAAAACACGAATACCATTGAATAGCCGGGTTTTTTATATAATCATTAAGTCTCTTAATCTGTGTGTGCATTTAATATAGTGTTGTGTTGACTAATAATGTAGGCCTATATAATTTGGTTTTTCTAATAGGTATTGGTAGCTTATGTTATTTTTAATGTGTCGGATTTTAAAATGTTTAATTATTTCTTTGCACACATATCATTCAACGTGTAGTAAAGCACGTTGCATATTGACCAATAACTATTTTATAAAATATTTTTCTCAAACAAGTATAACATTAAAATATATATTGGCCTATAATTCTCGTGTAACGGGTATCGACGGCTAGTGTTTTAGTATTAGACGTACAGTGGAGATCTTCATTGAGTACAGTGTACAGATCTGAAGTGTACGGAAGATCTTTAGTTACGCTGAGTGCTGTACTGTTGGTGGTAGGCCAGTTAGGCTGTCAGGAGAAAGAAAAAAGGTGGGGTCAGGACATTTTTAGGGTGGGGTCAGGAGATTTTTTAGGGTGGGGTCAGGAGATTTTTTAGGGTGGGGTCAGGAGATTTTTTAGGGTGGGTCAGGAGATTGTTTAGGGTGGGGTCGGGACATTTGTTTTGGTGGGGTCAGGAGATTGTTTAGGGTGGGGTCAGGAGATTTTTTAGGGTGGGGTCAGGAGATTTTTTTAGGGTGGGGTCAGGAAATTATTTAGGGTGGGGTCAGGAAATTATTTAGGGTGGGGTCAGGAAATTATTTAGGGTGGGGTCAGGAAATTATTTAGGGTGGGGTCAGGATATTGTTTAGGGTGAGGTCTACTGTACTCCTGTATGGGTGGGTCTGTGATACGCCTGGATGGGTGTCATTATTGGACACCATTTAAGGGTGGAGCTGTTTGGTCGCATGCCAAAATCAACCAACACCACCAAGCCAAACATGACACCACAACGTGTAGAACTACAACAGCAACCATTGTCAGTTGTTGGTCTTCTGCCAACACACACCATCAATAGTGGCGAGAAGATACAACTAGATATGACAACCCTAGGACCATCTCACTTTGAATGTGGTAGTTTGATAAAAAAAAACTTCTGTACAAACCACCGAGGCGTGAAGAACTGGATGTACTCCAAGTGCAGTCATCCATGCACGTCTCTGAAGGTCAAGTCTGCGAGAAATGTCTGGCTGCTACAGACGGGCGTCGCCTCAAGTTTGGAAGGTGATGATGTCATTAGATATATGTCTCAGATCGTTGGGGTGGTGGTGTTCAAAAAGTACCACACCAACACACCAGCGTATAAACTACCGACACACATTGCGAAAAACACTGGAGCGTTTAAGATTCAAATATGTACAAAAGTGGCCGTGCCTAACCCTTATCGAGAGTTATAAAATACAAATCTGTCGGTGTTGGTGTTTTGGGGGGGGGGTGTTTTTTTTTTTACAATTGGTGTAAATATTTGTTTACATATCATGTAAGAGTACCCAGATCATAGCCCTTCTGTGTCCACTAACCTAGCCCTTCTGTGTCCACTAACCTAGCCCTTCTGTGTCACCTAGCCCTTCTGTGTCCACTAACCTAGCCCTTCTGTGTCCACTCTAACCTTGACCCCTATTCCTCTGGACAGGTTCAGAAGGAGCGTCATCAGACGGGGGGTCGTACATGAGTGAGAAGGTTTTGATAGACAGGCGCATCTACAGCCTCAGTGAGTTTGACGAGGTGAGGTTTCCACACTTTATCCGGGTGTGTGGGTGTGGGGGCGGGGGGGGGGGCACATACAGTCACTTTATTTAATGTCATCGTTTCTCTAAAGCTGTCATAAAATGTCACAATTTCCCTAAACAAATGCCATCCTTCCCTAAACAAATGCCATCCTTCCCTAGAGCTACCAAGAGAAACACACGCCCAGACACGGCGACATCAAGTCCTACATCAGAAGCTGCGACTGTTCACTCAGGTGTGTCGGCCGGACCATCACGGGTAAACTCCCCTTCATCCCCGTCCTCAGACACTACAACATCCGGAGAGATTTGTTGGCCGACTGCATCGCTGGTCTCACGGTGGGCATCATGCACATCCCGCAAGGTAGGTCACGTGATCGGTGACTTACTGTCTGGCTCACCTTAAACACATCTCCTTACATTAACCCTAACTACAGCACATCTGCTTACATTAACCCTAACTATAGCACATCTCCTTACATTAACCCTAACTATAGCACATCTCCTTACATTAACCCTAACTATAGCACATCTCCTTACATTAACCCTAACTATAGCACATCTCCTTACATTAACCCTAACTATAGCACATCTCCTTACATTAACCCTAACTATAGCACATCTCCTTACATTAACCCTAACTATAGCACATCTCCTTACATTAACCCTAACTATAGCACATCTCCTTACATTAACCCTAACTATAGCACATCTCCTTACATTAACCCTAACTATAGCACATCTCCTTACATTAACCCTAACTATAGCACATCTCCTTACATTAACCCTAACTACAACACATCTCCTTACATTAACCCTAACTATAGCACATCTCCTTACATTAACCCTAACTAGAACACTTCTCCTTACATTAACCCTAACTATAGCCAGTGGCGGAACTAGAAAAAAGGGGCCACCCCGCAAAAAAAAATGTTTAGGCCCCCCCCCATATAAATATATAGGCCTATATATGTGTATATATATATATATATATATATATATATATATATATATATATACTAGCCGTCCCGGCCAGGCCCTGCTCTGGCTTCTGTGAAAAACCTTTGTGTTAAAGACCATCACCTGTGTGTATAGTAATAATCATAAACCCGGCATTGCCCACCCAAACCACAACCAACCAAAAAAACAAAATGCAAACATAACGCTAACACAATTACAAATACAAAAGAAAACAAAAACCTAACAACAAACCCAACCACAACCACAAACACCAATACAAACACAAAGAAAAAACAAACAAAAAAGCAAACGAAAACAAAAACCTAACAACAAACCCAACCACAAACACCAATACCAACACACAAAAAAAAAACGAAAAAGCAAACGAAAACAAATCAAATCCAAACGCAAAACCAACCAAAAACACAAATACAAACCCAAACAAAAAAACACAAACAAAAACGAAAAAAGAAAGAACAAAAACGAACCAAATCAAAACGCAACCACTAACGCAAACCCACCTAAACACAAAGAAAACACTAACGCGAACATAAACGCCCGGGGCGGAATCACCTGTTTTAGCTTAATGAACGACGATAGTACCCCAACTTATTCATAGTCTTTTGCACTCACTTAAACGAACGCGCCTGTTTCAATTTGATGAACAATTATAATACTCCAAGCTTATCCGTAAAATACCTACAACATTTGCACTTGATCAATCCCCACTAATTATGTAATTATTTTTTTTTCCCAACACCAAAACAAAGTAATTAAAAAAATTCATAAAAAACGTTTTAATAACAAGCTTTTATGTAATGATGCACTAAAAAGTAGAAAATAAATTATAGACTACTATTTAAATAACTATAAAGAAAAGCGTGGGTCACTTTAGTATCTATTGGATACCTTTACTAATGTTAAGGAAGACACCCACGCTTTTCTTTATAGTTATTTAAATAGTAGTCTATAATTTATTTTCTACTTTTTAATGCATCATTACATAAAAGCTTGTTATTAAAACGTTTTTTATGAATTTTTTTTCAGTACTTTACATGTTTTATCTACAATAGAGTTACATGACTAAAAACCATTGCGCGCCTACTGAATATCACGTTCAGTAGGCGCGCAATGGTTTTTGAACGCAGCCATTACGTGGTCGTGATGGCGCAGCTATTGATGACGCGTGTGGTGTGGTTGGCTAGACATGCCTACTAATTCGGTCCAAATTTTAATTAATTCATAAAAAATCAATTAGGCATCCAATTAAGTCAAATTTAGTTTCAGATTGCATTGTCTTCATGTCTTGACCCACGTGCCAACTGTGAATCGTGTCGGTCAAGTAGAACTGTCCGAATTTTCACTCCTGCGTTTCCGTCTAGACAGACAGACAGACAGAGGAAGTGAGTTAAATAAAAGCTTGTAAAAAAGTAAATACTTTTCCACAAAATGCAATGGTTTTATAAAGGGAAGTAATTGTGTTTTCCTAATTTATCAAAGGGAAGTAAGTGCTATAGGACTAAATAAAGACATAATTAGAATTTTTGTAAAAGATGATATTTTTTTAAAACTTGTGTTTAATGAACATGCAGACAATTGTTACTATAATTTAAAAAATGAAAATTATTTCCCAACCAGGGGCGGAACTACAGTGCCGCCAGACCCCGCAATGCGGGGGGGCCCACCCCATTTAGGGGCCCACGGCCGACCATAAAAAATTGTTAAAAAAAATGTTCTTGCATTTTTGATTTAATGTTTGTTTTGTAAAAAAGATTACCGTAGCTGCGGTTGGATTATCTTTATTCTATAGACACTACTCCACGCTCATTTTTCCTTCGTTTTTAAACCACTGTGAAAACCGAGTCCTCTTTCTACTACAATGAAACTTATCAAAGATACCAAACGTTCAAACCACTTTCATGACTTATTTCCCTTTTTTAAATAGTCAAACAGTGATGCTCATAAGCCTCTTTTTAATAGATTTGTACTAAACGAATTAAAAAGCAATTACTTCTCTTTAATATTATTTGTTTATAAATTACTTACTAAAGAATGACACGGTATAAAAAGAAAATGTATTCAAAATTAATAAAATAAATATGAAAAAACATAAAAATAAACATGACACGAGACACCATTATTTACAGAAAGCTTTCATGTTTTATATTCTTTTGACCAATATGAGGATTTCGGCAGAGATAATATTAAACTGATTCTCACAAAACAGACTAATGCACTTACACTCATGATGTGATGTTGTAATTTGTTTTAATAAAAAAAAAAAAAAAACCCACGTATTTCTCATAACAGGAACAGGCCAGCATGAATAAGTATCCTATGTTCGTATGTTGTGTTTAAGTATATATGTATATATATATATATATATATATATATATATATATATATATATATATATATATATATATATATATATCTAATATATAAAGCTCAGTTCTGTATGTAATGCATATGTTTGTCGTTGGAATTGTATGAATTTAAGTGTTAGAAAATTAGCGTGCGCATTTGTCTAAATTTATGAGCTAAAAAATTACTATTGAAAGTGTTGGGAAATAATTTTCATTTTTTAAATTATAGTAACAATTGTCTGCATGTTCATTAAACACAAGTTTTAAAAAAATATCATCTTTTACAAAAATTCTAATTATGTCTTTATTTAGTCCTATAGCACTTACTTCCCTTTGATAAATTAGGAAAACACAATTACTTCCCTTTATAAAACCATTGCATTTTGTGGAAAAGTATTTACTTTTTTACAAGCTTTTATTTAACTCACTTCCTCTGTCTGTCTGTCTGTCTAGACGGAAACGCAGGAGTGAAAATTCGGACAGTTCTACTTGACCGACACGATTCACAGTTGGCACGTGGGTCAAGACATGAAGACAATGCAATCTGAAACTAAATTTGACTTAATTGGATGCCTAATTGATTTTTTATGAATTAGTTAAAATTTGGACCGAATTAGTAGGCATGTCTAGCCAACCACACCACACGCGTCATCAATAGCTGCGCCATCACGACCACGTAATGGCTGCGTTCAAAAACCATTGCGCGCCTACTGAACGTGATATTCAGTAGGCGCGCAATGGTTTTTAGTCATGTAACTCTATTGTAGATAAAACATGTAAAGTACTGAAAAAAAATTCATAAAAAACGTTTTAATAACAAGCTTTTATGTAATGATGCATTAAAAAGTAGAAAATAAATTATAGACTACTATTTAAATAACTATAAAGAAAAGCGTGGGTGTCTTCCTTAACATTAGTAAAGGTATCCAATAGATACTAAAGTGACCCACGCTTTTCTTTATAGTTATTTAAATAGTAGTCTATAATTTATTTTCTACTTTTTAGTGCATCATTACATAAAAGCTTGTTATTAAAACGTTTTTTATGAATTTTTTTAATTACTTTGTTTTGGTGTTGGGAAAAAAAAATAATTACATAATTAGTGGGGATTGATCAAGTGCAAATGTTGTAGGTATTTTACGGATAAGCTTGGAGTATTATAATTGTTCATCAAATTGAAACAGGCGCGTTCGTTTAAGTGAGTGCAAAAGACTATGAATAAGTTGGGGTACTATCGTCGTTCATTAAGCTAAAACAGGTGATTCCGCCCCGGGCGTTTATGTTCGCGTTAGTGTTTTCTTTGTGTTTAGGTGGGTTTGCGTTAGTGGTTGCGTTTTGATTTGGTTCGTTTTTGTTCTTTCTTTTTTCGTTTTTGTTTGTGTTTTTTTGTTTGGGTTTGTATTTGTGTTTTTGGTTGGTTTTGCGTTTGGATTTGATTTGTTTTCGTTTGCTTTTTCGTTTTTTTTTTTGTGTGTTGGTATTGGTGTTTGTGGTTGGGTTTGTTGTTAGGTTTTTGTTTTCGTTTGCTTTTTTGTTTGTTTTTTCTTTGTGTTTGTATTGGTGTTTGTGGTTGTGGTTGGGTTTGTTGTTAGGTTTTTGTTTTCTTTTGTATTTGTAATTGTGTTAGCGTTATGTTTGCATTTTGTTTTTTTGGTTGGTTGTGGTTTGGGTGGGCAATGCCGGGTTTATGATTATTACTATACACACAGGTGATGGTCTTTAACACAAAGGTTTTTCACAGAAGCCAGAGCAGGGCCTGGCCGGGACGGCTAGTATATATATATATATATATATATATATATATATATATATATATATATATATATATACACATATATAGGCCTATATATTTATATGGGGGGGGGGGCCTAAACATTTTTTTTTGCGGGGTGGCCCCTTTTTTCTAGTTCCGCCACTGTTCCCAACACTTTCAATAGTAATTTTTTAGCTCATAAATTTAGACAAATGCGCACGCTAATTTTCTAACACTTAAATTCATACAATTCCAACGACAAACATATGCATTACATACAGAACTGAGCTTTATATATTAGATATATATATATATATATATATATATATATATATATATATATATATATATATATATATATATATATATATATATATATATATATATATATACATATATACTTAAACACAACATACGAACATAGGATACTTATTCATGCTGGCCTGTTCCTGTTATGAGAAATACGTGGGTTTTTTTTTTTTTATTAAAACAAATTACAACATCACATCATGAGTGTAAGTGCATTAGTCTGTTTTGTGAGAATCAGTTTAATATTATCTCTGCCGAAATCCTCATATTGGTCAAAAGAATATAAAACATGAAAGCTTTCTGTAAATAATGGTGTCTCGTGTCATGTTTATTTTTATGTTTTTTCATATTTATTTTATTAATTTTGAATACATTTTCTTTTTATACCGTGTCATTCTTTAGTAAATAATTTATAAACAAATAATATTAAAGAGAAGTAATTGCTTTTTAATTCGTTTAGTACAAATCTATTAAAAAGAGGCTTATGAGCATCACTGTTTGACTATTTAAAAAAGGGAAATAAGTCATGGAAGTGGTTTGAACGTTTGGTATCTTTGATAAGTTTCATTGTAGTAGAAAGAGGACTCGGTTTTCACAGTGGTTTAAAAACGAAGGAAAAATGAGCGTGGAGTAGTGTCTATAGAATAAAGATAATCCAACCGCAGCTACGGTAATCTTTTTTACAAAACAAACATTAAATCAAAAATGCAAGAACATTTTTTTTAACAATTTTTTATGGTCGGCCGTGGGCCCCTAAATGGGGTGGGCCCCCCCGCATTGCGGGGTCTGGCGGCACTGTAGTTCCGCCCCTGACTATAGCACATCTCCTTACATTAACCCTAACTATAGCACATCTCCTTACATTAACCCTAACTTAATGTAGTTAAATTAACCAAAACAACTCTATCACTAGTTCAACAAAATTGATTGTGATTGAGTTTTGTGATTGTGTTTTGTGTTTTGTGATTGTTTTGTGATTGTGATTGTGTTTTGTGATTGTGTTTTGTGATTGTGTTTTGTGATTGTTGGCTAACCCCGTGACTCTCTGCCCCCAGGTATGGCCTACAGTCAGGTGGTGGGGCTGCCCCCCGTGTACGGGCTCTACGCCTCCTTTTTCCCCGTCATACTCTACTTTTTTCTGGGCTCCTCCATGTACCTGTCAATGGGTAAGTTGTTTGTTGTATGTCTGTTGTATGTTGGTTGTATGTCTGTTGTATGTTTGTTGTATGTTGTTGTATGTTTGTTGTATGCCTGTTGTATGTTTGTTGTATGTTGTTGTATGTTTCTTGTATATTTGTTGTATGTTGGTTTTATGACTGTTGTATGTCTGTTGTATGTCTGTTGTATGTTTGTTGTGTGCCTGTTGTGTGTTTGTTGTATGTTGTTGTATGTTGTTGTATGTTTTTTGAATGCTTGTTGTATGCTGTTGTATGTCTATTGTATGTTTGTTGTATGTTATTGTATGTTTGTTGTATGTTGTTTATGTTTGTTGCAGGTCTTTTGTATGTCAGTTGTATATCTGTTGTGTGTTGTTGTATGTTTGTTGTATACCCTTGTTGTGGTAGAAGGTAATGCTCAAATACCAATGTCAAATTGTACAATAACGCCACTTAGATAATTATTTATGTTTTAATGGATGCGGAGAAGTTTTTTATTTATTTCGTAATTTTGAAAATGTGTGTCGTTAATTCTTTTTGTTTTGCCGTTTGTGTCTGCAGGCACGTTCGCCCTGTCGTCTTTAAATTGTGTGTCGTTAATTTTTTGTTTTGCCGTGTGTGTCTGCAGGCACGTTCGCCCTGTCGTCCATCATGCTAGGCAGCGCCATCACCAAGGGCATGCAGTCCCGCAACCTGGTGCCCCAGACCTACAACACCAGCCTCATCATAGGCGGGAACTTGACCTACCAAATCACGGACAACTCGGACCAACTTCTGGACGAGAAGATAAAAATAGCCATGGCCGTGACCTTGGCAGTCGGCATCATCCAGGTGAGTAGCGGGTGAAAGGTCATACAGTGGAACACGTCACAGACAAACAAATCATTGAGCAGAGGAATTAGAACGATTGATATTTAAGGCAACTAATTAGTAGCTGGACACTAATTAGTAGCTGGACACTAATTAGTAGCTGGACACTAATTAGTAGCTGGACAACCTACATGTTCGTTCCACGCCATCACAAGCGTATTTTTTTTAAAAATGTTTTTACCAACCCAAATAGAATTCCTCTACATACAAACCAGAACCAATAATATTAAAAAGGCTGCGCCCCCACCCCATATATATGCAAATTCTCGTAACTTCCACATAAGAACCCCCCCCCCCCCCCACTCCCATTACTTGCCTATCCCAATCACACCCAACCTTTATTACTTCTCTAAGCCAATCACATCCAACAAGACAGCAGACATAACCCGTCATGATTTACTTTTACAAAAGTACGGTGCCCCCCCCCCCTACTGATGTCCCCTGATCCAGCTTGTTAAAACTCTCCAACATGTTCCAGACGATTCTCGGGATCCTGAGACTGGGGTTCATCACGGTCTACCTGTCCGACCCCCTCATCAGCGGCTTCACCACCGCCGCCATCATTCACGTCTTCATCAGCCAGATGGGAGCCGTGTTTGGGATATCAGCCGGCAAATACACCGGTCCTTTCAAGCTTGGCTGGGTAAGTCTTGATAGGTCCTGATAGGTCCTAAGAGGGCCTGGTAGGTCTTCAGAGGTCCTGTTGTTAAAATTTACTCTGGGTAGGTCCTGATAGGTCCTGTTGTCACAGCTATGTCCCTATGTGTCGTGTATATTTTTGGACCCCATAGGCTGCTGTATCCATGATGGGTTCCTCTGTCTATAGATTTGAACACCTCCCCTACCCCCACACTGTCTAACGTATGAGTACATCCCACAGGAGACACGTGACTACATCCTGAGCCTGCACAAAACCAACCCCGTCACCCTCATCATCTCCATCGCCTGCATCCTCATCCTCTGGCTGGTCAAGGAGTGCATCAACGTCAACCCAAAGATCAAACCCAAACTCAAGATGCCGGTCCCCATCGAGCTGATAGTGGTCAGTTGACTTGATGTTACTGGGTCTATAGTGGTCAGTTGACTTAATGTTACTGGCTCTATAGTGGTCAGTGTAAAGTTACTGGCTCTATAGTGGTCAGTGTAAAGTTACTGGGTCTATAGTGGTCAGTGTAAAGTTACTGGGTCTATAGTGGTCAGTGTAAAGTTACTGGGTCTATAGTGGTCAGTGTAAAGTTACTGGGCCTATGGTGGTCAGTGTAAAGTTACTGGGTCTATAGTGGTCAGTGTAAAGTTACTGGGTCTATAGTGGTCAGTTGACTTAATGCTACTGGCTCTATAGTGGTCAGTGTAAAGTTACTGGGCCTATGGTGGTCAGTGTAAAGTTACTGGGTCTATAGTGGTCAGTGTAAAGTTACTGGGCCTATGGTGGTCAGTGTAAAGTTACTGGGTCTATAGTGGTCAGTGTAAAGTTACTGGGTCTATAGTGGTCAGTTGACTTAATGCTACTGGGTCTATAGTGGTCAGTGTAAAGTTACTGGGTCTATAGTGGTCAGTGTAAAGTTACTGGGTCTATAGTGGTCAGTTGACTTAATGCTACTGGGTCTATAGTGGTCAGTGTAAAGTTACTGGGTCTATAGTGGTCAGTGTAAAGTTACTGGGTCTATAGTGGTCAGTGTAAAGTTACTGGGTCTATAGTGGTCAGTGTAAAGTTACTGGGTCTATAGTGGTCAGTGTAAAGTTACTGGGTCTATAGTGGTCAGTGTAAAGTTACTGGCTCTATAGTGGTCAGTCTAAAGTTACTGGGTCTATAGTGGTCAGTGTAAAGTTACTGGTCTAATGGTGGTCAGTGTAAAGTTACTGGGTCTATAGTGGTCAGTGCAAAGTTACTGGGTCTATAGTGGTCAGTTGACTTAATGCTATTGGGTCTATAGTGGTCAGTGTAAAGTTACTGGTCTAATGGTGGTCAGTGTAAAGTTACTGGTCTAATGGTGGTCAGTGTAAAGTTACTGGTCTAATGGTGGTCAGTGTAAAGTTACTGGGTCTATAGTGGTCAGTGCAAAGTTACTGGTCTAATGGTGGTCAGTGTAAAGTTACTGGGTCTATAGTGGTCAGTGCAAAGTTACTGGGTCTATAGTGGTCAGTTGACTTAATGCTATTGGGTCTATAGTGGTCAGTGTAATGTTACTGGGTCTATAGTGGTCAGTGTAAAGTTACTGGGCTTATAGCGGTCAGTGTAATGTTACTGAACCTATAGTGGTCAGTTGACTTAATGCTACTGGCTCTATAGTGGTCAGTAGACTTAATGCTACTGGGTCTATAGTGGTCGGTTGACTTAATGCTACTGGGTCTATAGCGGTCAGTTGACTTAATGCTACTGGCTCTATAGTGGTCAGTATAAAGTTACTGGTCTAATGGTGGTCAGTGTAAAGTTACTGGGTCTATAGCGGTCAGTGTAAAGTTACTGGGTCTATAGTGGTCAGTGTAATGTTACTGGGTCTATAGTGGTCAGTGTAATGTTACTGGGTCTATAGTGGTCAGTGTAAAGTTACTGGGTCTATAGCGGTCAGTGTAAAGTTACTGGCTCTATAGTGGTCAGTTGACTTAATGCTATTGGGTCTATAGTGGTCAGTGTAATGTTACTGGGTCTATAGTGGTCAGTGTAAAGTTACTGGGCTTATAGCGGTCAATGTAATGTTACTGAACCTATAGTGGTCAGTTGACTTAATGCTACTGGCTCTATAGTGGTCAGTGTAATGTTACTGGCTCAATAGTGGTCAGTGTAAAGTTACTGGGTCTATAGTGGTCAGTGTAATGTTACTGGGTCTACAGTGGTCAGTGTAATGTTACTGGCTTTATAGTGGTCAGTGTAAAGTTACTGGTCTAATGGTGGTCAGTGTAAAGTTACTGGGTCTATAGTGGTCAGTGTAATGTTACTGAACCTATAGTGGTCAGTTGACTTAATGCTACTGGCTCTATAGTGGTCAGTGTAATGTTACTGGCTCTATAGTGGTCAGTGTAAAGTTACTGGGTCTATAGTGGTCAGTGTAATGTTACTGGGTATACAGTGGTCAGTGTAATGTTACTGACTTTATAGTGGTCAGTGTAATGTTACTGGGTCTATAGTGGTTAGTGTAATGTTACTGGGTCTATAGTGGTCAGTGTAATGTTACTGGGCATAAAGTGGTCAGTGTAATGTTACTGGCTCTATAGTGGTCAGTGTAATTTTACTGGGCTTATAGCGGTCAGTAAACCTTTAAATTTATTTTATCGATGGTACCTTTATATTTATTGCTTTTATTAACATAAAATAGGCTACAATTAGAAAATAAATTTGCCGAAAATAAAAACTTTCTATGAAATTCTTCCAGGTAATTGTAGCAACTATAATTTCCTACTTTGCTGAGTTCAATGAAAAATATAAAGTAAAGGTTGTTGGTGATATCCCCATTGGGTAAGTCTAGTATTCGAAAACAGGACATGTTGAAAACTGTATGTTTGCTATTTCTTGTCCTGTTTCATCCTGATATTTTGTCCAGAAATATTGTCTTGATGTATTAGCCTGCTATTTTGTTCTGATATTTTGTTCTGATATTTAGTTCTGATATTTTGTTCTGATATTTTGTTCTGATATTTTGTTCTGATATTTAGTTCTGATATTTAGTTCTGATATTTTGTTCTGATATTTTGTTCTGATATTTTGTTCTGATATTTAGTTCTGATATTTAGTTCTGATATTTTGTTCTGATATTTTGTTCTGATATTTTGTTCTGATTTTGATTCCCCCAGGATCCCCCCACCCAACCTAAAGCCGATACCCTACCTAGCTGACTCATTCTCCGACGCTATCGCCATAGCTATTGTAAACTTCGCCATCTCCATCTCAATGGCCAAGATCTTCAGCAAGAGATACGGTGTTGAAGCAGACCCTAACCAGGTTCGGTAAATCCCTCTTAACTTTGGATTAGGCCTACATTAACAACTACAGTAACAAACAGTTTAAATAATTTTGATTATTCCTTGGGTGATTTTGTCGGCTGAAATATTAAAACAATGAGCTACTTCATGTACCTTATTGAGTCATTTCTTGTATTTTATTTTCTAACTTGACAATTCGTCTCCAACTTTCATGTAATCTTGATTCACAGGAGCTTTTGGCCTATGGGATTTGTAACATTATACCAGCGTTTTTCACATCATTTGTGTCGACCATCTCCATTGCAAGAAGTTTGGTCCAGGAAGATGTCGGGGCTAGAACTCAGGTATGACTTCTAGACTTCCCGTCAGTTAACGCTATCTGTTGGCAATCAGAGTTTCTTCCAGGCATAAAATTTCAAGTACCCCCCCCCCCGGGAGAAAAAAGTCTGGAAGAAACACTATTGGCAATTAGATTGATTATTACATTGAGTAATGTTATCATTTTGACTCATAGTCTTTAAGCTAACAGTATTTTAAACTGCAGGTGACTGGACTCCTGTCAAGTCTGCTAGTGTTGGTTGTTTTGCTAGTGGTTGGTCCGTATTTCAAGTCTTTGCCAAATGTAAGTTTTCTGCACATTTGTTTTACAAATTACAATCTGCAACTGTTAATTAGATTTCTAGATCTAGATCTAAATCTATATTCGATCTGTGTAAGTTAATATGTTACATAGCACACTCAAATTCAATTTGGCAGATAGATCTAGAATCTAGATCTAGAATCTAGATCTTCAAGTTTTCATCAATTACTAATTACATTTTCATTTCACAACCTAAATTTCTAAAAATAATATTTTCTAGAAGTCTACTTTTAATAGGGCCTAAACAAGATTTGGAAGGGTTTTTTCCCCCGAAAACCGTACTGCATGGCATATAGATTTATCATATAGAATTAGATCTATAGATTCTAGATAATCTAGATCTAGAATCTAGGTCTAGATCTAGATCTAGTTTAAAGTTATCTGCACACAAAAAATATTGAAAGTGTAGAAAATAGTAAATCAATATAGATCCAGGCCTATTAATTTATTAAATGATTTAATATTTATCTCCAGTGTGTCCTTGCTGCTATTATTTTGGTGTCCATTAAAAGCATCTTCTACCAGTTTCTGGAACTGAAGATTTTATGGAAGGTTTCTTTTCTTGACTTTGTGAGTACATTTTTTTTCCAGCTCCATTTGTCTTCTTTTAAGTTTTCATTTTTAAACTAGATCTAGATCTAAATTTGTCTTGTTAAATTTTTTCATTAATTTTCTAAGAAATAAAATGCTAAAATTGTCAATTTATATTGCAGGCTGTTTGGGTTGTGACATTTTTAGGATAAATTGTCAATTTGTATTGCAGGCTGTTTGGGTTGTGACATTTTTAGCCACAGTGTTCCTGGATATTGACATTGGGCTACTGACTGGCGTCTTGTTTGCTCTATTGACTGTCATTATCAAATCACAGAGGTAAGATGGTGTAAACACAAAGGCAGACAAAAGGGTAGCGTGTGGTCATTGATTAAAAATACTCTTTGTTTTAGGGCTACAGTATTTGATTGAAGTTTGTTTTAATATCAGTTTGAACTGTTTCTATTTTTAGACCTCACTCTTGCATGATGGGACAAATGCCAGGCACAGACATCTACAGGAACAAGTCCCATTACCCAGATGTAGGTTTAGCTACACTCAAACGTTACTTATAACACAAGTCCCATTACCCAGATGTAGGTTTAGCTACACTCAAACGTTACTTATAACACAAGTCCCATTACCCAGATGTAGGTTTAGCTACACTCAAACGTTACTTATAACACAAGTCCCATTACCCAGATGTAGGTTTAGCTACACTCAAACGTTACTTATAACACAAGTCCCATTACCCAGATGTAGGTTTAGCTACACTCAAACGTTACTTATAACACAAGTCCCATTACCCAGATGTAGGTTTAGCTACACTCAAACGTTACTTATAACACAAGTCCCATTACCCAGATGTAGGTTTAGCTACACTCAAACGTTACTTATAACACAAGTCCCATTACCCAGATGTAGGTTTAGCTACACTCAAACGTTACTTATAACACAAGTCCCATTACCCAGATGTAGGTTTAGCTACTCAAACGTTACTTATAACACAAGTCCCATTACCCAGATGTAGGTTTAGCTACACTCAAACATTACTTATAACACAAGTCCCATTACCCAGATGTAGGTTTAGCTACACTCAAACGTTACTTATAACACAAGTCCCATTACCCAGATGTAGGTTTTGTTACACTCAAACATTACTTATAACACAAGTCACTTTTAGCCAAATTAGTTAGGCTTTGTTTAAGAGAAAACTACCAATTCTATCACAAACAGTTCATCTATTCTGTTTTAATGTTAACCCTTTTAAAGACTGCAACTTTTAAAAGGATTCTCACACCATGGTTTACAACTGATCTAACAGCTGTTGTTCTATCACATCTGATGTATCAGTTGTTGTTCTATCACATCTAATGTATCAGTTGTTCTATCCACCAGGCTCAGGAGCTGCCACATATCAAAATTTACAGGTTTGACTCTGCAATTTTCTTCGCCAACGCTGAATTTTTCAAACTGTCCCTCTATGAACGCACAGTGGACCCCATCAAGCTGACCAAGCTGAAGAAGAAACGAGAAAAACAAAAGAAGAAAGAAGACCAAAGGCTCTCAAAGATCCAGGTCAGTTGCTCACTTCTCTATCAGTTGCTCTCAAAGATCCAGGTCAGTTGCTCACTTCTCTATCAGTTGCTCTCAAAGATCCAGGTCAGTTGCTCACTTCTCTATCAGTTGCTCTCAAAGATCCAGGTCAGTTGCTCACTTCTCTATCAGTTGCTCACTCCTCTATCAGTTGCTCACTTCTCTATCAGTTGCTCTCAAAGATCCAGGTCAGTTGCTCACTTCTCTATCAGTTGCTCACTTCTCTATCAGTTGCTCACTTCTCTATCAGTTGCTCACTTCTCTATCAGTTGCTCACTTATCTATCAGTTGCTCACTTCTCTATTAGTTGCTCACTTCTCTATCAGTTGCTCACTTCTCTATCAGTTGCTTATGTTTAAATGTGATTGTCCTATGAGTAATTAACTAGTACAGGAAAAGTTAATGTTATAAAAGTAGAAATATTTAATCATCCGAGTTTTAATGTGAACTCTTTAAATTTACTGTTATAATAATAATAAACAATTATTTATTGGTCAGATTTCCTTTCAGTAGCTCAGATGTAGATAATTATTTGTTAATTTCTTTGTTTAGATTTCCATGAGTAGCTCAGACGTGAAAATGAATGGCAACAACTCTCTCAACCTGAATGGCCAAGTAAGCAGCAGCGATCTATCAAGGAAAGACAACCAGTACCAAAACCTGACCTCCAGGACTGAATCAGAAATCTCAGACATAACTAAGCTGCCTCTTACAGACATCAAGTTCATCATTATAGACTGCTCCATGATGGGATATGTTGATTTTATGGGGATAAAGTATTTACAACAGGTGAGGTGTGGGATAAGGTATTTACAACAAGTGAGTTGGGATAAAGTATTTACAACAGGTGGGGATAAGGTATTTACAACAGGTGAGGTGGGAATATGGTATGTCCAGCAGTTAAAAGTAATGTGTTTATCTACAGGTTGTGACAGAATTGAAACCATTTAATATTACAGTCCTTATAGCCCATTGTACATGTAAGTATTTAATAAAGTTTATTGAAGTTTAGCCATTGTTCCCATTCATTTCAAAGTTTTATCCTAAGACTTTAATAAATAAATTGACTTCTCTTTAAATCTATACATTACTATTGTTTGAACTTTTCAGCAAAAAATGTGTAACTTATGTCTATTTTTACTTAACAGCCAAAGTACGAGACATGTTTGAGACAATGGACTTCTACAAAGTCGCAAGCAAAAATTTCATCTTTGTCACACTCCATGATGCAGTTGTACATGCACAGGCCCAAATCTTGGCTGAAAAAAAGGTCAGGCCTCATTTTAAATTGGTAAACTTTACAAAAATATTGCTTTAGCTCCATGCACAGAAGTAACCCAGGTTACGTAGTGTGTGAATGGTAGTACATAGTCTTATGTTCCAGCCTCTCACACTAATCCAAGTTAGTGATCCATGGCTATACAGACACATAGTCAGTGATTAAGCTCCTATGACGTAATTATTTATTAGAGATTTTTTTGTCTTTTAGAAAAGTTTATTTATTATCTATTAGATTTTTTTTATTTCGAGAAAAGTTTTAATAATTTGCTTTTGTCTTCTAGAAAAGTTTTAGTCCTCAGATTTTGTCTTCTAGAAAATTTTTAATAATTCTATTTTTGTGTTCCAAAAAAGTTTTAATGATTATATTTTCACCTTTCAGAGAAGTTTTAATGATTATATTTTCACCTTTCAGAGAAGTTTTAATGATTATATTTTCACCTTTCAGAGAAGTTTTAATGATTATATTTTCACCTTTCAGAGAAGTTTTAATGATTATATTTTCACCTTTCAGAGAAGTTTTAATGATTATATTTTCACCTTTCAGAGAAGTTTTAATGATTATATTTTCACCTTTCAGAGAAGTTTTAATGATTATATTTTCACCTTTCAGAGAAGTTTTAATGATTATATTTTCACCTTTCAGAGAAGTACCTCTCACCCCACCACCAGCAGCAACACCTCCCTGACAGATTTACCTGGATCAGCTGAAGTTGATGAAAAAACAAATTTATAACATCTTAAAACATTGGGAGATGGAAAGAGAAATGACAAAAGGACAAGAAACAATGATAGAAATTATTTGTAATTAAAATTAATATTCAATTATAGGAAATCATAAATCAACAAATTTGATATTTTTAAAAAACTTTTTAATCCAATTTAACTAATAATCTTTTAATGGAGAAAAAGAGCTTGAAATTTTCATTTTTTCGTGAGTTTTTATTTTAATACTTTGCTCAATTAAATTTTTTTCTAAATTTGATCCATTCAAATAACAATTATCTATCCTGAATGAAGATTTTAATAAGCTAAATACTTACATGTAAATATATTACTGTTATATAGACAAAATTATGTTTCAAAGTGATTTTAAGCTCATGGTTATGCTGTTATATGTTGTTGTACAAATTGTAAAATTATGGAAGTTAAACATTAGTTTATACATATGTAATATAGGCTTACACCCATTATGAGACCTCAAACAAAACTTAGTCCCCCCCTGTGTATACATATTTTGGTCCCATATTTATGTACATACGTTTCTATTGGTTCCTTACTTGTGTACATATGTATCTATTAGTACCCTCTTTGTGTACATAAGTATTTATTGCTCCCATATTGATGTACATAATTATCTCATTACTTACTGCAGTAACTTCATGTATTGATGTATCAGGTGCATTAGAATATATATGTATTTATATATATGATAGTTCATATTTATATATGGAATAGTTCATACATATGGTCATATTTTAGGCAAAAACTTAACAGCAGGGAATTTTTTTAAACAGGAAATAATATTTTTAAGTTTTGTTAAATTAAAAATAATATTTTTAGAATTAAAATGCTAACGTTTAAATGGCAGGAGAGTGTAAGAAAGTCTCAATATTAACTGATACAAATGTTATTAAAATATCTGTTGTTTAATGTCTTTCAATATGTTGTATTAATAAGGCACATACGATGTAATATTTATTGATCACTAATAAAAACTAAAGAATGTTATTATGTCCCTTGTCTTCAGCTTTGATTAAAATCTCTGTCATTGACTGTGTTGCTCAAAACGTTTTCACAGTTCAAACTGTTTTATACATTTATACCACATGAGCAAATGTTAGGACACATGATTATTACATGGGGAAATTTGAAGACACATTTGATGTAGTTTCTGATAGTTCTGCTTACACTGGGTGAAATACAGAGTGTAGTTTCTGATAGTTCTGCTTACACTGGGTGAAATACAAAGTGTAGTTTCTGATAGTTCTGCTTACACTGGGTGAAATACAAAGTGTAGTTTCTGATAGTTCTGCTTACACTAAGTGAAATACAGAGTGTAGTTTCTGATAGTTCTGCTTACACTGGGTGAAATACAGAGTGTAGTTTCTGATAGTTCTGCTTACACTGGGTGAAATACAAAGTGTAGTTTCTGATAGTTCTGCTTACACTGGGTGAAATACAGAGTGTAGTTTCTGATAGTTCTGCTTACACTGGGTGAAATACAAAGTGTAGTTTCTGATAGTTCTGCTTACACTAAGTGAAATACAGAGTGTAGTTTCTGATAGTTCTGCTTACACTGGGTGAAATACAACAATACTAGAGGATCCCCAGACCTAGAACCTAACAAAGGGCGGCTACCTACATAGGCTTGTGAGAAATATATTACAGAGTAGATGCCCCTAGCGTGTAATGCGAACCCATTTGGATGGACCTGTGTTCAACATCTTTGATATCAACAAGAAAATTATCTCTATAAATTCTGTCACACTCTTGAAAGAGTGAAGTGGGGGGAGGCAAAAAATTATGTCACCTCAATGACAAGATTTGACATTTGTGTGTAATTAGATTTGACATTTGTGTGTAATAATGACTAGATTGCCAAACATTTTGAGTAAATAGGGTGGGGTTGGAAGCAAAGCTAGCGGCATGGGGTAACTAAAGGGCTCGCATGGGCGGGTGGTAGGGGACATAAAGGGGGTGGGTGGTGTAAAGGGTTTGGGGTACTGGGAGGTGTAAAGGGGGTGGGTGGTGTAAAGGGGTTGGGGTACTGGGTGGTTTAAAGGGGGTGGGTTGTATACTGAGAGTTGTAAAGGGGATGGGTGGTGTAAAGGGGGTGGGGGGGGTGCTGGGAGGTGTAAAGGGGGTGGGATACTGGCAGGTGTAAAGGGGTGGGGTACTGGGAGGTGTAAAGGGGGTGGGTGTTATAAAGTGGGTGGGTGGTGTAATAGTGGTGGAACAATGTTTTATTTCAGAGTCAGGATTAATATGCAAAAAAAAAAAGAAAGCTACTAATAAAATGCTGACCCCTGTACTAAATGCCTAACTTTGAGAGAAAAGCCCTTTTTAAAAGACCAAATCACGTATTCCAATGTCAAGGTCGCGCAGACATTTGACAGGAGCCGCTGCCGTTATGCTTGGCTGAACAGAAGATCTAGTGAACGTTTTAAGGGACAGCTAATAAAGTTTGTAAACCATTTGAAACTAATGAAAGGTAACAAAAATCTTTATAGCAACAAGTTTTTAAATGCACTGAAAATGAAAAAATAAAACTAATCTCCTGTTTTTCATAAGAGCTCTTGTCGCTCATGAGATCTTTTACATATTTTAGCCACAAAAGCTTTTATGAAAGAAAGCAGATTAGTTTTAATCGAAAAGCTTGCTAATAACATTCGGCGTAAATCACAGCTCACTAGACTGGGTGATCGCGTCTAGATAGTTATCTCCCCTTTCCGTTATTAAACATTTTATTTTGTTTTCCCCATTAGTTTCAAAACCGATTAATTAATTTTTTAGGACTAATTAAGCATCTAATTAACCTAAAAATGCTAAACTTGCATTGTCATCGAAATGAAACGTATCTGGAAAGCTTGAACGAAATCGCTGCATTAGAAGTGGGTCAAAATGTTTGACTTGATGATTATATGGTTATGTGAGGGACAGGACTAATGTTTGACTTGATGCCCAAGCACCGTGACGAGCGGTAGTGACGACGTGTTCTGCGAGCCTAACCAGGCACCGTGACGAGCCACAGTGACGACGTGTTCTGCGAGCCTAACCAGGCACCGGAACGGTGTAAGCCGACCTTCACCTTGGCGAACCTGACACGAAAATACGTGAGTTTTATTGGGGGGGGGGGGGGAGCAAGTCAGCACTGACATATGACGTGAGGGCCAGAGGGTGTGTCGAGGATTTTTTCACTTCAGTCGGACTAGCACAGCACGACAGTACTTCTTACATATGTTAGTACTTCATACGGTACTGCTTACATGTGTTAGTACTTCATACAGTACTTGTTGCGTGTGTTAATACTTTATACAGTACTTAGTTCATGTGTTAGTACTTCATACAATACTTGTTGCGTGTGTTAATACTTCATACAGTACTTCTTTCATGTTTTAGTACTTCATACAGTACTCGCTACCCGTGTTAGTACTTCATACAGTACTTCGTAGATGCGTTAGTACTTCATGCTGTACTTGTTACATGTGTAAGTACTTCATACAGTACTCGTTACTCATGGACCTAGTCACAATTTGTTTTAATTGCTGCGACTTCTGTAAATATCTCATTATGTCTAATTAGTAAAGCACCACATACAACGACTGACGGATGTAGAAAATCAGCACACACACAGGACATAATTCAATATTCCATTTCACATTTCGGAACAACTAAGTTGTTATTAATGCAAAAATATTTATCAGAAACATATTTCTGACAGCTGGGATATATTGTCGTCTCAATGTTATTTAATAATGTGGTCAAAGTTTGATGTTTTCTAAGGCATGGTCAGCGTGTTATGTCTAAATCCTCTGCTATTTCTAAATGGACTTGTAATTTAATATTTAATGCGACCACTCACTGATGTACGTCATGAATCATGGTGTTTATTTGCTGAATTGTCTATAAAATAGAACATTCAAGAATAACATCTATAAATTAAACGTGACGTCACTATATATCGGCTATGCAAATTTCTGGCAGCACGTGCAGCTAGATCACCAACAGGCTGGTGACCCCTGGTGACCCGTGGTGACCCCTGGTGACCCACTCACCAGTTGACGGTAGCTCGAGCTGCTGACAGTTTGGTTGTCAGTTGAGGTGCTGTCAGCATTGTGGATACATCCTGATTGTATGTGATTACATCCTGATTGTGTGTGGATACATCCTGTGGATACATCCTGATTGTGTGTGGATGCATCCTGTGGATACATCCTGATTGTGTGTGGATACATCCTGTGGATACATCCTGATTGTGTGTGGATACATCCTGATTGTGTGTGGATACATCCTGATTGTGTGTGGATACACCCTGATTGTGTGTGGATACATCCTGATTGTGTGTGGATACATCCTGATTGTGTGTGGATACATCCTGAGTGTGTGTGGATACATCCTGTGGATACATCCTGATTGTGTGTGGATACATCCTGTGGATACATCCTGATTGTGTGTGGATGCATCCTGTGGATACATCCTGATTGTGTGTGGATACATCCTGATTGTGTGTGGATACATCCTGATTGTGTGTGGATACACCCTGATTGTGTGTGGATACATCCTGATTGTGTGTGGATACATCCTGATTGTGTGTGGATACATCTTGATTGTGTGTGGATACATCCTGATTGTGTGTGGATACATCCTGATTGTATGTGGATACATCCTGATTGTGTGTGGATACATCCTGATTGTGTGTGGATACATCCTGTGGATACATCCCGATTGTGTGTGGATACATCCCGATTGTGTGTGGATACATCCTGTGGATACATCCTGATTGTGTGTGGATACATCCTGATTGTATGTGGATACATCCTGATTGTGTGTGGATACATCCTGATTGTGTGTGGATACATCCTGATTGTGTGTGGATACATCCTGATTGTGTGTGGATACATCCTGATTGTGTGTGGATACATCCTGATTGTGTGTGGATACATCTTGATTGTGTGTGGATACATCCTGATTGTGTGTGGATTCATCCTGAGTGTGTGTGGATACATCCTGATTGTGTGTGGATACATCCTGATTGTGTGTGGATACACCCTGATTATGTGTGGATACACCCTGATTGTGTGTGGATACACCCTGATTGTGTGTGGATACACCCTGATTGTGTGTGGATACACCCTGATTGTGTGTGGATACATCCTGATTGTGTGTGGATACATCCTGATTGTGTGTGGATACATCCTGATTGTGTGTTGATACATCCTGATTGTGTGTGGATACATCCTGTGGATACATCCTGATTGTGTGTGGATACATCCTGAGTGTGTGTGGATACATCCTGATTGTGTGTGGATTCATCCTGAGTGTGTGTGGATACATCCTGATTGTGTGTGGATACACCCTGATTGTATGTGGATACATCCTGATTGTGTGTGGATACATCCTGATTGTGTGTGGATACATCCTAATTGTGTGTGGATACATCCTGATTGTGTGTGGATACATCCTGATTGTGTGTGGATACATCCTGATTGTGTGTGGATACATCCTGTGGATACATCCTGATTGTGTGTTGATACATCCTGATTGTGTGTGGATACATCCTGTGGATACATCCTGATTGTGTGTGGATACATCCTGATTGTGTGTGGATACATCCTGATTGTGTGTGGATACATCCTGATTGTGTGTGGATACATCCTGATTGTGTGTGGATACACCCTGATTGTGTGTGGATACACCCTGATTGTATGTGGATACATCCTGATAGTGTTTGGATACATCCTAATTGTGTGTGGATACATCCTGATTGTGTGTGGATACATCCTGATTGTGTGTGGATACACCCTGATTGTGTGTGGATACACCCTGATTGTATGTGGATACATCCTGATTGTGTGTGGATACATCCTGATTGTGTGTGGATACATCCTAATTGTGTGTGGATACATCCTGATTGTGTGTGGATACATCCTGATTGTGTGTGGATACATCCTGATTGTGTGTGGATACATCCTGTGGATACATCCTGATTGTGTGTGGATACATCCTGATTGTGTGTGGATACATCCTGATTGTGTGTGGATACACCCTGATTGTATGTGGATACATCCTGATTGTGTGTGGATACATCCTAATTGTGTGTGGATACATCCTGATTGTGTGTGGATACATCCTGATTGTGTGTGGATACACCCTGATTGTGTGTGGATACACCCTGATTGTGTGTGGATACACCCTGATTGTGTGTGGATACATCCTGATTGTGTGTGGATACATCCTGATTGTGTGTGGATACATCCTGATTGTGTGTGGATACATCCTGATTGTGTGTGGATACACCCTGATTGTGTGTGGATACATCCTGAGTGTGTGTGGATACATCCTGATTGTGTGTGGATTCATCCTGAGTGTGTGTGGATACATCCTGATTGTGTGTGGATACATCCTGATTGTGTGTGGATACACCCTGATTATGTGTGGATACACCCTGATTGTGTGTGGATACACCCTGATTGTGTGTGGATACATCCTGATTGTGTGTGGATACATCCTGATTGTGTGTGGATACATCCTAATTGTGTGTGGATACATCCTGATTGTGTGTGGATACATCCTGATTGTGTGTTGATACATCCTGATTGTGTGTGGATACATCCTGTGGATACATCCTGATTGTGTGTGGATACATCCTGATTGTGTGTGGATACATCCTGATTGTGTGTGGATACATCCTGATTGTGTGTGGATACATCCTGATTGTGTGTGGATACACCCTGATTGTGTGTGGATACACCCTGATTGTATGTGGATACATCCTGATAGTGTTTGGATACATCCTAATTGTGTGTGGATACATCCTGATTGTGTGTGGATACATCCTGATTGTGTGTGGATACACCCTGATTGTGTGAGGATACACCCTGATTGTATGTGGATACATCCTGATTGTGTGTGGATACATCCTGATTGTGTGTGGATACATCCTAATTGTGTGTGGATACATCCTGATTGTGTGTGGATACATCCTGATTGTGTGTGGATACATCCTGATTGTGTGTGGATACATCCTGTGGATACATCCTGATTGTGTGTGGATACATCCTGATTGTGTGTGGATACATCCTGATTGTGTGTGGATACACCCTGATTGTATGTGGATACATCCTGATTGTGTGTGGATACATCCTAATTGTGTGTGGATACATCCTGATTGTGTGTGGATACACCCTGATTGTGTGTGGATACACCCTGATTGTGTGTGGATACATCCTAATTGTGTGTTGCTTGTGTTGGTCTCTGTATGGCCGTGTTCTGGTTGGTCGTTAAATTTGCTTGAAGGACCTTTGGTTTCTGTCTGGTCGATTTGTGAGCTGCTTTGTCTATTTAAAAATGTTACAACCAAGGTTTTCAAGCTTTAGAATTTACAGGTGTAAATTAGATCTCATGTCTTGAGGTTTTTGCATCACATGTAAATTAGATCGCATATCTAGAGGTTTGTGTATGACATGTGCTCACTTGATACTTTGTTGACACCTTTTTAATGTTTTGTTTATTTATGCTAGGATCATATTTACTTAGCTTTGAAAACGCAGAAATGGCATTAGTCAATTTTAGGAATTTTTTATAGATTGGAAAAACTTACTCGGAAAAAATTAACATTTTTGAGACCCATAGTAGATTCTAATTGGTGAAATGTTAAAATTTAATGAATATTACAGTCAAACTTGGATAATTCAATGAATATTACAGTTAAACTTTGATAATTTAATGAATATTACAGTTAAACTTTGATAATTTTATGTATATTACAGTTAAACTTTGATAATTTAATGAATATTACAGTTAAACTTTGATAATTTAATGAATATTACAGTTAAACTTTGATAATTTTATGAATATTACAGTTAAACTTTGATAATTTAATGAATATTACAGTTAAACTTTGATAATTTAATGAATATCACAACAATTTCAGCAGTAAACTAGCATCTACATTTTCACTGGAAAATTTTAGAATTTTTTTTTTCCACATATACATTTGACAAATCGTTGTCCCAATCATTCATTCAGCAAAAACAAGTCGTCTTTTTTATTCTTGTAACAACAGTTTGATGTGTTGGTGCTAATATTGGTTTACCTGTATGTAGGCCTACACGATATCCAACCAAAGTCTTGCCAAAAGGTCTTCTTGTCTGAAACATTCGATGCTATGGTCCTTTTGACGTCACAAATAAAATGGCGTCATCACACCCATCGAACCTCACGTCGTCACCTCTAGACCAAGGACATTCGGATAAACTCATTCACAAGCTGATACTGACCCACGGGCATAGCAATCTGACCCCGAGGTCTACCACCAGGGGGGACAGCTCGAGTTCTCGGGGCTCTGACCACACCTCACTCGGGGACCAGCCCGGACACAGCGGCACGAGCTCTCCATCAGAAGGGACCAGACGACACGCCCCCACCAGCCACAGAACGGGCGCCGAGAACCTGGGCGCCGAGAACCTGGGCGCCGAGAACCTAGGCTTTGACACCAGTGAGCTCCCTTTACACCCAGGACTTTTGGGTGAGTTTTGGTCAACCAAACCTGAATGAACTTGTGTTTTGTGATAGTGCTTATATATATATATATATATATATATATATATATATATATATATATATATATATATATATATATATATATATATATATATATATATATATATATATATATATATATATATATATATTAAATATATGGAACTACTAAGATGAAATGAGATGTTTTTCACAATAAAAGGTCACCACGATGAAGATGAAACAGCATACGGGGAGTCGTTAAATGATGAAAAGGTCATTATTGAGAGACCTATATATACTCAAAGGGAATTTGATGAGGCAGGTCATTGTGTCAATTGTTTTGTTAAAATCAAATTTTTAATTAGAAAATTTTTTTAATTGTACACGCGAAAAATATTTAAATATAAATGTTTACACAAAAATCTTCAACTTAAAATAAAGCATTTTATAAACAAACAATTACTTATTTTAAAAAAAACAATGTTAAAAAAAATTAAAACAAATTGAAAAAGATGATATTTTAAACTCTCAAAGAAAAGATTTTCCCTCCCATTGTACCCAGGGCCATGAAGAAGTGCTACACGGTAAACACAGAGTGTCACGCTTTATACGGTCACGGGTCAGCAAGTGTGAGTGCTCATTTGCGTGTGTCCGCAGATCTGTTGCTCACAGGCTGCCATTCCTGGCCATCATGAGAGATTATAATTTCAAGACGGATCTAATAGCAGATGCCATAGCTGGATTAACTGTGGGCATCATGCACATCCCTCAAGGTGAGATAATCAGGACTGCACATTAAGGCTTAATCCCTTTAAAATAAAATTCAGCTAGTCTATTACTAAATTTTTTGTTGATTTCTAGATATCTAGATTTGAAATGTTATTACTAGTTTTGGTGCAAATAAAATGAAATACCATTAGAATTAAAATCCTAAATAACTTATAGAAATCCTTCCATTATTTTGTTTGCTTTAAAATTGTACCAAAAATAAAGCAATGAATATTGAAAAATTTTAAAAAAATATTCTAAAACAATGAACAGATCTTTTGAATGTTTCTTTAGGGATGGCCTATAGTCAGCTGGCCACATTACCCCCTGTCTATGGCCTGTATGCCTCCTTCTTCCCAGTCATCCTGTACTTTTTCTTTGGGACATCAAAACATATTTCACTTGGTAAACTTAATTTTGTTCATATAGTAACAGCTTACTATTTAATATATTAAAAGATACATACATGGTTCAAATCACCTTTTTTTTAAAAAAAAGTAAAGAAATATTTTCTTATTTTCTTAGGTACATTCGCGGTGATCTCCCTTATGACAGGCTCCACTATAACCAAGGGGATAAAGGCCCGCAACCTGGTGCCAACAACATTCAACAGAAGTGTGGAGGTAGGGGGCAATGTAACCTTTGAACTCTCAAACAACTCAGAGGAGATTCTGCACACAAAACTAATGCTGGCCATGTCAGTGACCTTCATTGTTGGGGTTATACAGGTAAATGGTGGGGTTATACAGGTAAATGGTGGGGTTATACAGGTAAATGGTGGTGTTATACAGGTAAATGGTGGGGTTATACAGGTAAATGGTGGGGTTATACAGGTAAATGGTGGTGTTATACAGGTATATGGTGGGGTTATACAGGTAAATGGTGGTGTTATACAGGTAAATGGTGGGGGTTATACAGGTATATGGTGGTGTTATACAGGTATATGGTGGGGTTATACAGGTAAATGGTGGTGTTATACAGGTATATGGTGGGGTTATACAGGTAAATGGTGGTGTTATACAGGTAAATGGTGGGGGTTATACAGGTATATGGTGGTGTTATACAGGTATATGGTGGGGTTATACAGGTAAATGGTGGTGTTATACAGGTAAATGGTCGGGGTTATACAGGTAAATGGTAGGGTTATACAGGTAAATGGTGGGGTTATACAGGTATATGTTGGGGTTATACAGGTAAATGGTGGTGTTATATAGGTAAATGGTGGTGTTATACAGGTAAATGGTGGGGTTATACAGGTAAATGGTGGGGTTATACAGGTAAATGGTGTTATACAGGTAAATGGTGGGGTTATACAGGTAAATGGTGGTGTTATACAGGTAAATGGTGGTGTTATACAGGTAAATGGTGGGGTTATACAGGTAAATGGTGGGGTTATACGGGTTAATGGTGGTGTTATACGGGTAAATGGTGGTGTTATTCAGGTAAATGGTGGGGTTATTCAGGTAAATGGTGGGGTTATACAGGTAAATGGTGGTGTTGTACAGGTAAATGGTGGGGTTATACAGGTAAATAGTGGTGTTATACAGGTAAATGGTGGTGTTATACAGGTAAATGGTGGGGTTATACAGGTAAATGGTGGGGTTATACAGGTAAATGGTGGGGTTATACAGGTAAATGGTGGGGTTATACAGGTAAATGGTGGGGTTATACAGGTAAATGGTGGTGTTATACAAGTAAATGGTGGGGTTATACAGGTAAATGGTGGGGTTATACAGGTAAATGGTGGGGTTATACAGGTAAATGGTGGGGTTATACAGGTAAATGGTGGGGTTATACAGGTAAATGGTGGGGTTATACAGGTAAATGGTGGGGTTATACAGGTAAATGGTGGGGTTATACAGGTAAATGGTGGGGTTATACAGGTAAATGGTGGGGTTATACAGGTAAATGGTGGGGTTATACAGGTAAATGGTGGGGTTATACAGGTAAATGGTGGTGTTATACAGGTAAATGGTGGGGTTATACAGGTAAATGGTGGGGTTATACAGGTAAATGGTGGGGTTATACAGGTAAATGGTGGGGTTATACAGGTAAATGGTGGGGTTATACAGGTAAATGGTGGTGTTATACAGGTATATGGTGGTGTTATACAGGTATATGGTGGGGTTATACAGGTATATGGTGGGGTTATACAGGTAAATGGTGGTGTTATACAGGTAAATGGTGGTGTTATACAGGTAAATGGTGGGGTTATACAGGTAAATGGTGGTGTTATACAGGTAAATAGTGGTGTTATACAGGTAAATGGTGGTGTTATACAGGTAAATGGTGGGGTTATACAGGTAAATGGTGGGGTTATACAGGTAAATGGTGGTGTTATACAGGTAAATAGTGGTGTTATACAGGTAAATGGTGGTGTTATACAGGTAAATGGTGGGGTTATACAGGTAAATGGTGGGGTTATACAGGTAAATGGTGGGGTTATACAGGTAAATGGTGGGGTTATAAAGGTAAATGGTGGTGTTATACAGGTAAATGGTGGTATACAGGTAAATGGTGGTGTTATACAGGTAAATGGTGGGGTTATACAGGTAAATGGTGGGGTTAGACAGGTAAATGGTGGGGTTATACAGGTAAATGGTGGTGTTATACAGGTAAATGGTGGGGTTATACAGGTAAATGGTGTTATACAGGTAAATGGTGGGGTTATACAGGTAAATGGTGTTATACAGGTAAATGGTGGGGTTATACAGGTAAATGGTGGTGTTATACAGGTAAATGGTGGGGTTATACAGGTAAATGGTGGGGTTATACAGGTTAATGGTGGTGTTATACGGGTAAATGGTGGTGTTATAAGGTAAATGGTGGTGTTATTCAGGTAAATGGTGGGGTTATACAGGTAAATGGTGGTGTTGTACAGGTAAATGGTGGGGTTATACAGGTAAATGGTGGGGTTATACAGGTAAATGGTGGTGTTATACAGGTAAATGGTGGGGTTATACAGGTAAATGGGAGTGTTATACAGGTAAATGGTGGGGTTATACAGGTAAATGGTGGGGTTATACAGGTAAATGGTGGTGTTATACAGGTAAATGGTGGTGTTATACAGGTAAATGGTGGGGTTATACAGGTAAATGGTGGGGTTATACAGGTAAATGGTGGGGTTATACAGGTAAATGGTGGTGTTATATAGGTAAATGGTGGGGTTATACAGGTAAATGGTGGGGTTATACAGGTAAATGGTGGGGTTATACAGGTAAATAGTGGGGTTATACAGGTAAATGGTGGGGTTATACAGGTAAATGGTGGGGTTAGACAGGTAATTGGTGGGGTTATACAGGTAAATGGTGGTGTTATACAGGTAAATGGTGGTGTTATACAGGTAAATGGTGGGGTTATACAGGTAAATGGTGGTGTTATACGGGTAAATGGTGGGGTTATACAGGTAAATAGTGGGGTTATACAGGTAATTGGTGGGGTTATACAGGTAAATGGTGGGGTTATACAGGTAAATGGTGGGGTTAGACAGGTAAATGGTGGGGTTATACAGGTAAATGGTGGTGTTATTCAGGTAAATAGTGGGGTTATACAGGTAAATGGTGTTATACAGGTAAATGGTGGGGTTATACAGGTAAATGGTGTTATACAGGTAAATGGTGGGGTTATACAGGTAAATGGTGGTGTTATACAGGTAAATGGTGGTGTTATACAGGTAAATGGTGGGGTTATACAGGTAAATGGTGGTGTTATACAGGTAAATGGTGGGGTTATACAGGTAAATGGTGTTATACAGGTAAATGGTGGGGTTATACAGGTAAATGGTGTTATACAGGTAAATGGTGGGGTTATACAGGTAAATGGTGGTGTTATACAGGTAAATGGTGGTGTTATACAGGTAAATGGTGGGGTTATACAGGTTAATGGTGGTGTTATACGGGTAAATGGTGGTGTTATAAGGTAAATGGTGGTGTTATTCAGGTAAATGGTGGGGTTATACAGGTAAATGGTGGTGTTATACAGGTAAATGGTGGGGTTATACAGGTAAATGGTGGGGTTATACAGGTAAATGGTGGTGTTATACAGGTAAATGGTGGGGTTATACAGGTAAATGGTGGGGTTATACAGGTAAATGGTGGGGTTATACAGGTAAATGGTGGTGTTATACAGGTAAATAGTGGTGTTATACAGGTAAATGGTGGTGATATACAGGTAAATGGTGGGGTTATACAGGTAAATGGTGGTGTTATACAGGTAAATGGTGGGGTTATACAGGTAAATGGTGGGGTTATACAGGTAAATGGTGGTGTTATACAGGTAAATGGTGGGGTTATACAGGTAAATGGTGGGGTTATACAGGTAAATGGTGGGGTTATACAGGTAAATGGTGGTGTTATACAGGTAAATGGTGGGGTTATACAGGTAAATGGTGGGGTTATACAGGTAAATGGTGGGGGTTATACAGGTAAATGGTGGGGTTATACAGGTAAATGGTGGTGTTATACAGGTAAATGGTGGGGTTATACAGGTAAATGGTGGGGTTATACAGGTAAATGGTGGGGTTATACAGGTAAATGGACATTTGTCCTACAAGAGACAGCATATATTTTCTTTATAAATTCTACCTTGTTTTGGGGTGGATGGGGAAGGAGTTGTAGACATGCTTCATGGAGCAGTGCACCCTTCCCACCAATAGGTGCCTGACAGAAATTATGATAAGAAATGTTTAGGTCCACTAGAGTGGGGCAGTTGTACTGGTGTTGGCCTTTCTTTAAGTCAGCTAGAAGATGAGATGTATGACAGCATTAATTACTTTTGATTGGCCCATTTTATGTAGTTAGGAAAATGTGTTTATTTTTCAGTCATCATCAAATGTTGTTTCAATTATTTGTTGTACCATAATTTATTGTCCCATAATTTATTGTCCCATAATTTATTGTCCCATTCTTTAGTTACTGTTGGGTGTGCTGCGTCTAGGGTTCATCACTGTCTACCTATCCGACGCACTGATCAGTGGCTTCACTACGGGAGCAGCAGTTCATGTTTTTATTAGTCAGATCAGCTCCATCTTTGGTATTTCTACTGGAAAATACAGCGGAGTTTTAAAGCTGGTATATGTTAGTAGAGACCAATCAACTCAAAGGTTTTTTTAATAAAATCTAGTCATCTTGTATGAACATAAAACAATATATTTATTAGAATTGTATATTATTTTTTTTAGAATATCTTTTTAGTAACAGGGGAAAAATAAGTTATAATACATTAGACAGTGTTTAGAATATCACTTGTTGTCCCATATAATCATAAAAACTACAGATGTAAAAATAAAAAAAAGTTTCTGCCCGTCCAAACCTCAGGAGTGTAGGGATATCTTCCAGAATTTACCTCAGTCAAATGTCGTCACATTCATTGCCGCACTTATTTGCATGCTTCTGTTGTGGATAGTCAAGGAGTACATCAATGGCAACACCAAGGTCAAGGCCAAGCTCAAGATGCCAATCCCCATAGAACTTATAGTGGTTTGTCTTCTAGTTTTTATACGTACCAAATTATAAAGTTTACTACTTATGAAACAATCTATTACTCCAATAATAAAAAAACATGAATTCTCTGAAATAGTCTATTGCACCAATAATAAAAACAAGGATTCTATAAAATAATCTATTTCAATAATAATAAAAACAAGGATTCTATGAAACAATCTATAGCTCCAATATTAAAAAACATGGATTCTATGAAATAATCTATTGCACCAATAATAAAAACATGGATTTTTTTTTACTCCAGGTGGTTATGGGAACGGTGGTGTCCTACTTAGTAAAACTAGAAGAAAAATACAAGGTCAAGGTTGTTGGAGAAGTGCCAGTTGGGTGAGCGTCCTTACAAATAAATAAAACAAGTAGAAAACTTACAAGTAACAAGCCTTTAAATGCAACAAGTATAAATAACTAGACACAATTTTTGTGTGTGAATATTATAGCTTTTTAGCGCAATTTCCATTCTGGAGAATTGCGTTTATTAACTCGTCATTTCTGGGAATGGATGGATGAATGAATGTATGGATGAATGTGTGTCCGGGCTTTAAGTCGTATCTCCTCCTCAACGAAGCAATATCGATGACTAGTTCCAAAAGCAATTGTGTTAAGCAAGTTACAAGAATGAGCATAGGCCATAAAAATTCCGGGTTTCTTTCATGTATTTCCCGGAAAAGCCAAAAAACCTTGAAAAAAATCAGTTTTTGGCCCATATCTCGGCAACCAGACCACGTAGCGACTTGAAACATGTACCAATCGATTCCCGCCATAATTTAGAACAATATTGCCGAAGAAAGTTTTCAAAAATATCCTCTCGTTCGGTCACAACTTTTAAAATTACATAAACACCTACAAACCGATCGTTCTCCTAGCTTGAACGCACCCCAGCATTATACGTCAGAGCTATTTTTAGATAACATAAGGAAATTGCGCATAAATGTCACTAGACTTTTTTTATTAACTTGTTTGCTATTAAAGCTTTTAGCTGCCAATCATTGTTTTTAGAGGATATTTTTACACTTGATATTTTTGACTGTTACAACTATTCTTCAGTATTCCACCCCCCAACCTGAACCCTTTCTCCTGCCTGTCTGAAGTTGTGTCAGATGCCATAGCCATCGCCATTGTGTCATTTGCCATCTCAGTCTCCATGGCCAAGATCTTCGCCAATAAACACGACTACTTTGTTGATGCCAACCAGGTGATGAGTCAAAAACTGTACTGTCAGGCTCACGTCCATACACTAGTTTGTAGCTCACTTCTAAATAGAACTTCATTTTCTCTGCAGGAGCTGTTGGCCTATGGGATATGTAATATTGTGCCGTCATTTTTTTCATCTTTTGTGTCAACTGTGTCAATGTCTCGGAGTTTGGTGCAAGAAGAGGTTGGAGGTAAAACTCAGGTAATGAACTGTCTTCGTTCTTTTTAACCATCAGCTAATCATAAGACTGCACTAAAATAATCTCCCTTGATATTGAGCTGATATATCATAATTTTCTAGATAATGAACTGAAATTGAATTATATCCCCTGATAATGAACTGAAATTGAATTGTGTCCCTTGATAATGAACTGAAATAGAATTATGTCCCTTATACTGCACTGAAACAGAGTTAAGTCCCAGATAACTCCAACCTCCAATGCAGGTGACTGGCCTGGTGTCCAGTGTTTTATTGCTGGTGGTTTTGTTGGTCATTGGCACCTACTTCAGGACACTGCCAAATGTAAGTTTAATCATTTTAGTCTTATGTTTTATGATAATGGTACCATCAAAGTACAAAATCTGTCATTCTATAGAAGGCCTAAGTACTGTAGAGAAATCCTAGGAACTCTAGAGAATACTTGAAATGGGCTGAGAAAGTGTAAAATCATATTTGTTTTTAATTTGCTTACAATTTTATTTTCAATTTTACAAATGTATATATATATATATATATATATATATATATATATATATATATATATATATATATATATATATATATATATATATATATATATATATATATATATATATATATATATATGTGAAATAAAATGATTAAAGATAAATGGTACTTAGCCTGAAAATACCTGATGTTTTATAGAAAGATAGGCCTTCTATCTAACGCCTGCAATATTACCTTTGCCAGTAACACATACAATTTTTAAAAAATTTAGGATGTTTGATATTTATACCGACACAATGTATTTGATTTAAAACATTCTATGATATTCAATATTAATGGTGATGTGCTTTACGTCTTATTTTTTAAACATTTAATCACTTCCATAGTGATCCCAATCAGAGCCGGCGTTGGGGGGTGGCAAACGGGGCGGTCGCCCTAGGCCCCGCGCTTGAAGGGGCCCCGCGCTTCAGCACTGTCATTGTTATCTGAATTAGTTTGTAAACTTTAACAAATTGTTGCTGAATTCAATTGGGAAAAACTAAATGGTCGAATGCCGACGTTGTTGATTGTTATAACTGAGGCCACGGTTGATGTTATTGAGTTATCACCCACCTGAACTGGGAAAGGCAGTAATTCGATACAAAAACGGTGTCACACCTCCCCTTTGTGTAGGGTACGGTCGCCTCGCATTTGACTGGAGATGGCGGTCTAGAATGAGCCCCCGACCTGACATAGGATGTAGATTTGGGAAACGTAAAGAGATACCCTATTGTATGCGGACCGATGAAGACGTCCTTTTAGTGAGCAGACGGGATGTCTGTAGTAGACAGTCAGTGACCTGATGAACTCTAGTCCTGACTTTCTTGTTGTAGATGTCGTATATGTAGGCCTACTTGTCTTGGTATAACACAATTAAAATTCAGTTGCGTGCAGAGGGGTGGGAGGAGGGTGACGAGGGGGGGGGGGGTGGAGGCCCTTAGGATCTATATCTGGGGTCATTAAACAGAGTGATTTATTATTATTTTTTGGAAGAAAGTTAAAACTGTTGTTATATTGTGTCACCTTAAGGATTCACCCGTTCCAAGACAGAATGGTTAATTTACCGAATTCATCCAAATTGTTTTATTCAATCAGTGGTGCTGACATGATATAGTCAGCGAATTGTCCTCGTCGCACAACTTTGATTGAGGCAATGGATGGTTGTGATTTAGTAGTCATTGATATTCCCCCAATAAACGCGGACTTTCAATTTATATCTGATACTTTGGTGAACTTAACGGCATTTATAGAGTGATTAAGCACATTTGTTAATTGTAGGGAAATCCTTTACAATAGTTAAGACAATAATGAGTTTGGTTTTAAAATATTGTATTGATTCAAAACAAATTTTGAAGTCTACACTGTTTTGATACATCAGGCCGAGTTCGCTGTATTGTAAACTTGTCCTGATATCTCACACGTCTAAAGTACTTACATTCACGGCAGCCCGAGCATGCCGTCGCGAAACTCATAAATAAGGTGTAGCTGGCTGTCACTTCCTAGTTATAGACACGTACTTTCTCTTGTGAGATCGCGATCATGGCCGGTAATGTAATACCCAGTAATACGTGGACGCTCTATAAACACAAACCTTGTTTTGAATGACTCCAGTCAGAAATCCATTAACGGAGTACTTGAACTTGGTCAGTAGCGTAGCGAGGGGGGGGGGGGGACATATGTCCCCGGGCGCCAACCTTAGGGGGCGCCAAAATGGGTTGGAAAAATAAATTGAAAGGTTGAAGGGGGTGCTAATTGAAAGTTTGAAGGGGGGTGCAAATCCAAAGTTTGAGGGGGGGGGGGTGCAAATCGAAAAGTTTGTCCCCGGGCGCCGGGAAGGGTCGCTACGCCTCTGAACTTGGTGATCCTTTTTTTTAAAGATATGGCATCCCGTAGCCGTAGATTTAAATGCACATTTATCTTTTACCTCCCCCCACCAACTGTACCCACCACAAAGCTCTACCCCACTGAGCGTCCAAGATTAAATTTGAGAATAATTTCATTTGGATATCCATAAACCTAGAACATTGGGTTAAAACATGGGAGAGATAAACATCTGTTATTAAAGTGGAAAGTTTGGCATTAGCTTATAAACTCCAAAACATTTATGTGTAATTTTGTGTGCATGCACATTATATAGGCCTATATATATATATATATATATATATATATATATATATATATATATATATATATATATATATATATATATAATGGAAAAAAGCAGGCCCCGCGCGCGGATGGTTGGCCCTAGGCCCCGCATCTTCCTAACGCCGGCTCTGATCCCAATCAAAGGTATTAATTAATTTTTTAATTTCATACATTGCATAATACTAAAGTAGTATAATAATACACATCAGTAAAATCATGAGAATGTTGTCAGCTATAAATTACAGGAAGTAATGAAACTATTTTCTCAGTGTGTGTTGGCGGCCATTATTATGGTGTCTCTCAAAGGCATGTTCAGACAATTTTTACAGCTGAAAACTTTATGGAAAATTTCCTTGGTTGATTTTGTGAGTCTATCTGTGTGTTTGTTGTTTTATTTGTCTGTATCAGCGTCACAGCCTATTCAGTGGCGGAGGGTAGCTGTAATTTGTTACAAAGAAAAATCCAACAATTCTTTTAATCTTATTGCTTACAACGGACAAAAATAATTTAACTGTAAAAAAAAGTGTACTCATTACTTAAACATTTTTTATTTTTGTCAGAGTTATTTCCCCTCCTTCCCCAGGCGACATGGATTGTGGTATTTTTAGGCACTGTATTACTGGATGTTGATCTAGGTCTTCTTGTTGGGGTCATGTTTGCTCTACTTACTGTTATCTTGAAGTCACAAAGGTCATTTTTTTTCATATTTTGTTCAATGCACTTTATAATTTCAAATCTATTGTATAATCTATAAACAGTCTCTAAATATAAACCAATGGATTTTATTTCACCAGACCCCATTCTTGTGTGATGGGCCAAGTTCCTGGGACAGATTTGTATAAAAATATTTCAGTCTACCCCTCTGTGAGTCTGAGATTTTTATCTACACAAACATACAAGCAATTTTGCTTTGCTCTTATCATTTGATTTCTTAAAAATGTATATTGTTTAAAAGTTCTTGGAAAAACATAGCTAAAACTATGAGGGGTTTAATCAATTTTTTGTGTGTCTTTTTTATCTTTCAGGCCAAAGAAATTCCAAACATAAAAATCTTTCGCTTTGATTCCGCAATATTTTTTGCCAATTCCGAGTTTTTTAAAACTTCCCTCTACAAACATACGGTTGATCCGTATGATCTTAAAAAACTGAGAAGAAAACTGAAACGACACAGAAAAAAGGAACATGTGTATATTACAGTAAGCACCTCTACTTGCCAAGTTAGCATTGGTTTTTAAAAAAAAAATTATCGTTTGTTAAAAAGTCACAACAGCAGCAACTGTTTTCACTGGTTTATTACAGGAGAGCTCCAATAGTGAGCTTCAAAGTGGTGAAACTGGCCACAGAACAAATGACATTCATCTGACCATTGGTCATCCAGCTGACCACCATTGTATGCGTACATCAACAGAGCCCAGCAGATACAAACAGGCCACAGCTCTGTCTGACATTGTCTACATCATTATTGACTGCTCCATGATGAGTTACATTGATGCCATGGGGGTCAAGGTCTTACAGCAGGTTGGGTAACTCTTTCTGACAAAGTTCCTTCCCCTCCTATCATGGTCTCATCTCTATATTAACCCTGTGATTTGGGATGAAAAAATTAAAAATTATTGAAAAATGTAAATAAAAAAAATTGAAATAGACCTATCTGAAAATTGTAACTAAAAAAATTGAAATAATTAAACTGAAAAATAAAACACAAAACTTTAGAACAACCCTTTTATTGTTTGATTTCATGTGATTAGCAGTGACCTTCATTAAACTTTACCTACCAAAGCCAACCATGACAATGTTTATTTTTGTCTCAACAGATTATATCAGATTTAAATGACAATTTCTATTTTTGTCTCAACAGATTTTATCAGATTTAATGACAATGTTTATTTTTGTCTCAACAGATTATATCAGATTTAAATGAGTACAATATTACAGTCTACCTGGCTCAGTGTAAAGGTAAGGACTGTAGATTAGGTTGGTCCATTCAAGTTTGTAAGTGTAAAGGTAAGAACTGTAGATTAGGCTGGTTCAGTGTAAAGGTAAGGACTGTAGATTAGGCTGGTTCAGTGTAAAGGTAAGGATTGTAGATTAGGTTGGTCCAGTGTAAAGGTAAAGACTGTAGATTAGGTTGGTCCATTCAAGTTTGTAAGTGTAAAGGTAAGAACTGTAGATTAGGCTGCTATATTCAAGTTGCTTTAATTTAATGTAGAGTAGGCTAGTAAAGTGAATCTAGTGTATTGTGTATGCTGAATCTGATGTAGTGTGTATGCTGAATCTGGTGTAGTGTGTATGCTGGCTGATTCGATTACAATTTCTGCTGAAATCTGCCATCACCTGACACATTTTTGTTTTCCAGCCAGTGTGAGAGAAATGTTTGAAAACACAAATTTTTACCAGACTGGGAAAACGAAATTTTTGTATTTGACTGTCCATGATGCAGTGGTCACGGCCCAGCATCAGCTGTTACTGCTTAGAGAGGTTTGTGGCTCATGTATTTAGAGAGGTTTGTTGTGTTGTGGCTCATGTATTTAGAGAGGTTTGTTGTGTTGTGGCTCATGTATTTAGAGAGGTTTGTTGTGTTGTGGCTCATGTATTTAGAGAGGTTTGTTGTGTTGTGGCTCATGTATTTAGAGAGGTTTGTTGTGTTGTGGCTCATGTATTTAGAGAGGTTTGTTGTGTTGTGGCTCATGTATTTAGAGAGGTTTGTTGTGTTGTGGCTCATGTATTTAGAGAGGTTTGTTGTGTTGTGGCTCATGTATTTAGAGAGGTTTGTTGTGTTGTGGCTCATGTATTTAGAGAAGTTTGTTGTGTTGTGGCTCATGTATTTAGAGAGGTTTGTTGTGTTGTGGCTCATGTATTTAGAGAGGTTTGTTGTGTTGTGGCTCATGTATTTAGAGAGGTTTGTTGTGTTGTGGCTCATGTATTTAGAGAGGTTTGTTGTGTTGTGGCTCATGTATTTAGAGAGGTTTGTTGTGTTGTGGCTCATGTATTTAGAGAGGTTTGTTGTGTTGTGGCTCATGTATTTAGAGAGGTTTGTTGTGTTGTGGCTCATGTATTTAGAGAGTTTGTTGTGTTGTGGCTCATGTATTTAGAGAGGTTTGTGGCTCATGTATTTATAGAGGTTTGTGACTCATGTATTTAGAGAGGTTTGTTGTGTTGTGGCTCATGTATTTAGAGAGGTTTGTTGTTTGTGGCTCATGTATTTAGAGAGGTTTGTTGTTTGTGGCTCATGTATTTAGAGAGGTTTGTTGTTTGTGGCTCATGTATTTAAAGAGGTTTGTGGCTCATGTATTTAGAGAGGTTTGTTGTTTATGGCTCATGTATTTAGAGAGGTTTGTTGTTTGTGGCTCATGTATTTAGAGAGGTTTGTTGTTTGTGGCTCATGTATTTAGAAAGGTTTGTTGTGTTGTGGCTCATGTATTTAGAGAGGTTTGTTGTTTGTGGCTCATGTATTTAGAGAGGTTTGTTGTTTATGGCTCATGTATTTAGAGAGGTTTGTTGTTTGTGGCTCATGTATTTAGAGAGGTTTGTTGTGTTGTGGCTCATGTATTTAGAGAGGTTTGTTGTTTGTGGCTCATGTATTTAGAGAGGTTTGTTGTTTGTGGCTCATGTATTTAGAGAGGTTTGTTGTGTTGTGGCTCATGTATTTAGAGAGGTTTGTGGCTCATGTATTTAGAGAGGTTTGTTGTGTTGTGGCTCATGTACTTAGAGAGGTTTGTTGTGTTGTGGCTCATGTATTTAGAGAGGTTTGTGGCTCATGTATTTAGAGAGGTTTGTTGTGTTGTGGCTCATGTATTTAGAGAGGTTTGTTGTGTTGTGGCTCATGTATTTAGAGAGGTTTGTGGCTCATGTATTTAGAGAGGTTTGTTGTTTGTGGCTCATGTATTTAGAGAGGTTTGTTGTGTTGTGGCTCATGTATTTAGAGAGGTTTGTGGCTCATGTATTTAGAGAGGTTTGTTGTGTTGTGGCTCATGTATTTAAAGAGGTTTGTGGCTCATGTATTTAGAGAGGTTTGTTGTTTGTGACTCATGTATTTAGAGAGGTTTGTTGTGTTGTGGCTCATGTATTTAAAGAGGTTTGTTGTTTGTGGCTCATGTATTTAGAGAGGTTTGTTGTTTGTGGCTCATGTACTTAGAGAGGTTTGTGGCTCATGTATTTAGAGAGGTTTGTTGTTTGTGACTCATGTATTTAGAGAGGTTTGTTGTTTGTGGTTCATGTATTTAGAGAGGTTTGTTGTGTTGTGGCTCATGTATTTAGAGAGGTTTGTTGTTTGTGGCTCATGTATTTAGAGAGGTTTGTTGTTTGTGGCTCATGTATTTAGAGAGGTTTGTTGTGTTGTGGCTCATGTATTTAGAGAGGTTTGTGGCTCATGTATTTAGAGAGGTTTGTTGTGTTGTGGCTCATGTACTTAGAGAGGTTTGTTGTGTTGTGGCTCATGTATTTAGAGAGGTTTGTGGCTCATGTATTTAGAGAGGTTTGTTGTGTTGTGGCTCATGTATTTAGAGAGGTTTGTTGTGTTGTGGCTCATGTATTTAGAGAGGTTTGTGGCTCATGTATTTAGAGAGGTTTGTTGTTTGTGGCTCATGTATTTAGAGAGGTTTGTTGTGTTGTGGCTCATGTATTTAGAGAGGTTTGTGGCTCATGTATTTAGAGAGGTTTGTTGTGTTGTGGCTCATGTATTTAAAGAGGTTTGTGGCTCATGTATTTAGAGAGGTTTGTTGTTTGTGACTCATGTATTTAGAGAGGTTTGTTGTGTTGTGGCTCATGTATTTAAAGAGGTTTGTTGTTTGTGGCTCATGTATTTAGAGAGGTTTGTTGTTTGTGGCTCATGTACTTAGAGAGGTTTGTGGCTCATGTATTTAGAGAGGTTTGTTGTTTGTGACTCATGTATTTAGAGAGGTTTGTTGTTTGTGGTTCATGTATTTAGAGAGGTTTGTTGTGTTGTGGCTCATGTATTTAGAGAGGTTTGTTGTTTGTGACTCATGTATTTAGAGAGGTTTGTTGTGTTGTGGCTCATGTATTTAAAGAGGTTTGTTGTTTGTGGCTCATGTATTTAGAGAGGTTTGTTGTTTGTGGCTCATGTACTTAGAGAGGTTTGTGGCTCATGTATTTAGAGAGGTTTGTTGTTTGTGACTCATGTATTTAGAGAGGTTTGTTGTTTGTGGTTCATGTATTTAAAAAAAAAAAAATTTCAAAGTGCAGATTTTTAAATAGTCAAGTTTTTAAATGTCATGTAAATTTAGTCAGCATCACAGGCTTGTCTTTGTCTTCCCCCAGGAGGACACTCTCACCCCTAACAGCACCAGGGTGGGGGTGGTGGATGGAGTGGTGGATGGAGTGGTGGATGGAGTGGTGGATGGAGTGGTGGATGGGTCCGCTGGGGATGGTTTTATGGACATGGCGGATGGCACCGCGGGAGAAATTGTTCAATGTACACCTGATCTCTCAACAGGGGAGACAAATCTGCAGGGCAATGCTGAAACAACACACATATAGACTACTTGAATGATTGTATTTAGATTTGGTTTAATTAAACTACTAGGTATACATGCTTTCTACTTCCAAAGATTTTCTACTATAATCTCTACATATTAATAAAATATAAATAACCAAATATCTTATGAGCAGGCTATTAGTTATTTCCACACATTGAATATCTCTTTAATTAGTGTTGGTCTGAATTAGTGTTGGTCTGGGTTAGTGATGGCCTGGATTAGTGATGGCCTGGATTAGTGATGGTCTGGATTAGTGATGGTCTGGGTTAGTGATGGTCTGGATTAGTGATGGTCTGGGTTAGTGATGGTCTGGATTAGTGATGGTCTGAATTAGTGATGGCCTGGATTAGTGATGGTCTGAATTAGTGATGGTCTGGATTAGTGATGGTCTGGATTAGTGATGGTCTGAATTAGTGATGGTCTGAATTAGTGATGGCCTGGATTAGTGATGGTCTGGAGTGATGTCTGGATGAGTGATGGTCTGAATTAGTGATGGTCTGGGTTAGTGATGGTCTGGATTAGTGATGGTCTGTGCATGCTGAAGAAAACAAGAAACTTGTGGTGCAATGATTTACATAAGAATTAAATGAAAATGAATTATCTTAGCAAAACTTCAAATCGCTTTTTGTGTTAATGCTGATACTATTGTGTGAATATTTCATGATCATTTAGACTTTAATTATTGTTGCTGAGTAGTGTTGAGTGTCGTAAATGACTAGTGGCAGCCACCAACAGAAAACATAACACACTAAATGTAGTCATTAACACTGGCAACATTTTTACTGAAAACTTTAATATGCAAATTTCTGGCAACACATGTGATGTCAATAGCTGATGTTACAGGGGTCAAACCTCTTCCCCCCCCCCCCCCCCCCCCCGTGAAGCCAATCAGGGCTGATGAGATACAAGATCATGCTGATTCTAGGGTCATCAAATTTTTATGACATGACAGACATCTGTGGGACCTTGAATATCTTTAATGGGCAACTGTGGGGCCCTTGATTATCTTTAATGGGCAACTGTGGGGCCCTTAAGTATCTTTAATGGACAACTGTAGGGCCCTTGATTATCTTTAATGGGCAACTGTGGGTCCCTTGAGTATCTTTAATGGGCAACTGTGGGGCCCTTGATTATCTTTAATGGGCAACTGTGGGGCCCTTGAGTATCTTTAATGGGCAACTGTGGGGCCCTTGAGTATCTTTAATGGGCAACTGTGGGGCCCTTGAGTATCTTATTATGGGCAACTGTGGGGCTCTTGAGTATCTTTAATGGGCAACTGTGGGTCCCTTGAGTATCTTTAATGGGCAACTGTGGGTCCCTTGAGTATCTTATTATGGGCAACTGTGGGGCTCTTGAGTATCTTTAATGGGCAACTGTGGGTCCCTTGAGTATCTTTAATGGACAACTGTGGGGCCCTTGATTATCTTTAATGGGCAACTGTGGGTCCCTTGAGTATCTTTAATGGACAACTGTGGGGCCCTTGATTATCTTTAATGGGCAACTGTGGGTCCCTTGAGTATCTTTAATGGACAACTGTGGGGCCCTTGATTATCTTTAATGGGCAACCAATCAATATTCACTAGTCGGGTTATTGTTTTTTAAATGTTATTTGTTATTTACACCAGAAGACATTAATGTCACTCACAATAACGGTGGAGTGAGGAACTTACCTCAGTGTTGCAACATGTTTGTGTGACAAGAACAGTCTAGACGTCAGGAACTTGTTTGAGTGTTGCAACATGTTTGTGTGACAAGAACAGTCTAGACGTCAGGAACTTGTTTGAGTGTTGCAACATGTTTGTGTGACAAGAACAGTCTAGACGTCAGGAACTTGTTTGAGTGTTGCAACATGTTTGTGTGACAAGAACAGTCTAGACGTCAGGAACTTGTTTGAGTGTTGCAACATGTTTGTGTGACAAGAACAGTCTAGACGTCAGGAACTTGTTTGAGTGTTGCAACATGTTTGTGTGACAAGAACAGTCTAGACGTCAGGAACTTGTTTGAGTGTTGCAACTTGTTTGTGTGACAAGAAAAGTCTAGACGTCAGGAACTTGTCTCAGTGTTGCAACATGTTTGTGTGACAAGAACAGTCTAGACGTCAGGAACTTGTTTGAGTGTTGCAACATGTTTGTGTGACAAGAACAGTCTAGACGTCAGGAACTTGTTTGAGTGTTGCAACATGTTTGTGTGACAAGAACAGTCTAGACGTCAGGAACTTGTTTGAGTGTTGCAACATGTTTGTGTGACAAGAACAGTCCAGACGTCAGGAACTTGTCTCAGTGTTGCAACATGTTTGTGTGACAAGAACAGTCTAGACCTCAGGAACTTGTTTGAGTGTTGCAACATGTTTGTGTGACAAGAACAGTCTAGACGTCAGGAACTTGTCTCAGTGTTGCAACATGTTTGTGTGACAAGAACAGTCTAGACCTCAGGAACTTGTTTGAGTGTTGCAACATGTTTGTGTGACAAGAACAGTCTAGATGTCAGGAACTTGTTTGAGTGTTGCAACATGTTTGTGTGACAAGAACAATCCTGACGTCAGGAACTTGTTTGAGTGTTGCAACATGTTTGTGTGACAAGAACAGTCTAGACGTCAGGAACTTGTTTGAGTGTTGCAACTTGTTTGTGTGACAAGAACAGTCTAGACCTCAGGAACTTGTTTGAGTGTTGCAACTTGTTTGTGTGACAAGAACAGTCCAGACGTCAGGAACTTGTTTGAGTGTTGCAACATGTTTGTGTGACAAGAACAGTCTAGACGTCAGGAACTTGTTTGAGTGTTGCAACATGTTTGTGTGACAAGAACAGTCCAGACGTCAGGAACTTGTTTGAGTGTTGCAACATGTTTGTGTGACAAGAACAGTCTAGACGTCAGGAACTTGTTTGAGTGTTGCAACATATTTGTGTGACAAGAACAGTCTAGATGTCAGGAACTTACCTCAGTGTTGCAACATGTTTGTGTGACAAGAACAGTCTAGACGTCAGGAACTTGTTTGAGTGTTGCAACATGTTTGTGTGACAAGAACAGTCTAGACGTCAGGAACTTGTTTGAGTGTTGCAACATGTTTGTGTGACAAGAACAGTCCAGACGTCAGGAACTTGTTTGAGTGTTGCAACAAGTTTGTGTGACAAGAACAGTCTAGATGTCAGGAACTTGTTTGAGTGTTGCAACATGTTTGTGTGACAAGAACAGTCCTGACGTCAGGAACTTGTTTGAGTGTTGCAACATGTTTGTGTGACAAGAACAGTCTAGACGTCAGGAACTTGTTTGAGTGTTGCAACTTGTTTGTGTGACAAGAACAGTCTAGACCTCAGGAACTTGTTTGAGTGTTGCAACTTGTTTGTGTGACAAGAACAGTCCAGACGTCAGGAACTTGTTTGAGTGTTGCAACATGTTTGTGTGACAAGAACAGTCTAGACCTCAGGAACTTGTTTGAGTGTTGCAACTTGTTTGTGTGACAAGAACAGTCCAGACGTCAGGAACTTGTTTGAGTGTTGCAACATGTTTGTGTGACAAGAACAGTCTAGACCTCAGGAACTTGTTTGAGTGTTGCAACTTGTTTGTGTGACAAGAACAGTCCAGACGTCAGGAACTTGTTTGAGTGTTGCAACTTGTTTGTGTGACAAGAACAGTCCAGACGTTGTTTGAGTGTTGCAACATGTTTGTGTGACAAGAACAGTCTACACGTCAGGAACTTACCTCAGTGTTGCAACATGTTTGTGTGACAAGAACAGTCTACACGTCAGGAACTTGTTTGAGTGTTGCAACATGTTTGTGTGACAAGAACAGTCTAGATGTCAGGAACTTGTTTGAGTGTTGCAACATGTTTGTGTGACAAGAACAGTCCAGACGTCAGGAACTTGTTTGAGTGTTGCAACTTGTTTGTGTGACAAGAACAGTCTAGACGTCAGGAACTTGTTTGAGTGTTGCAACATGTTTGTGTGACAAGAACAGTCTAGACGTCAGGAACTTGTTTGAGTGTTGCAACTTGTTTGTGTGACAAGAACAGTCTAGACGTCAGGAACTTGTTTGAGTGTTGCAACATGTTTGTGTGACAAGAACAGTCCAGACGTCAGGAACTTGTTTGAGTGTTGCAACATGTTTGTGTGACAAGAACAGTCCAGACTTCAGGAACTTGTTTGAGTGTTGCAACATGTTTGTGTGACAAGAACAGTCTAGACGTCAGGAACTTGTTTGAGTGTTGCAACATGTTTGTGTGACAAGAACAGTCTAGACGTCAGGAACTTGTTTGAGTGTTGCAACATGTTTGTGTGACAAGAACAGTCCAGACGTCAGGAACTTGTTTGAGTGTTGCAACATGTTTGTGTGACAAGAACAGTCTAGACGTCAGGAACTTGTTTGAGTGTTGCAACATGTTTGTGTGACAAGAACAGTCTAGACGTCAGGAACTTGTTTGAGTGTTGCAACATGTTTGTGTGACAAGAACAGTCTAGACGTCAGGAACTTGTTTGAGTGTTGCAACATGTTTGTGTGACAAGAACAGTCTAGACGTCAGGAACTTGTTTGAGTGTTGCAACATGTTTGTGTGACAAGAACAGTCTAGACGTCAGGAACTTGTTTGAGTGTTGCAACATGTTTGTGTGACAAGAACAGTCTAGATGTCAGGAACTTACCTCAGTGTTGCAACATGTTTGTGTGACAAGAACAGTCTAGACGTCAGGAACTTGTTTGAGTGTTGCAACTTGTTTGTGTGACAAGAACAGTCTAGACGTCAGGAACTTGTTTGAGTGTTGCAACTTGTTTGTGTGACAAGAACAGTCTAGACGTCAGGAACTTGTTTGAGTGTTGCAACATATTTGTGTGACAAGAACAGTCCAGACAACTAAGCGACGGGCTAAGATAACCTTAGATTTGACAGTGAACTCCCCTTACATCCTAGGACTTGTGTGAGTTAGCTGATTATCTTACTCATTACTGCTAATTATCTGGGTGATTTTAGCTGATTATTATACTGCTGAATATTTGTAAGTGTACATTTAGTTGGCTGACTTACTGCTAATCGGCTACTAGTTTAAATAATTCATTAATGTAAATATAAATGTAACAAACAACAAAATAAAGTGAGAAGTTGAATTTTTGTACACAGGGAGACAATGGATTCCTCGCTAGAATTTTGTCAGTTATGTGCCCTGATATTTACCATGGTTGTCTCCCTTCGTTAACGCCTGAGAAATAACGTTTTCAGCTATGTCACTACATTCATATAGGAACACCAGTTCAACAAGGTGGCCTCACTGCTAAAGAAGAAATGTCTAAACTATTAGCATGGGAGATCACCCACCCACACATATTGCTGAATCTTCACACACTAGAGAAGTCATGTTTCAGGTGAACAATGGTTTATTTTGTAACAATTACATTATAAAATCATGTATTTAATATGTATTTTACTCCAAAAACGTGTATGCTACATTAACAATAGTCATCAAATGGCAATACAATAAAACAAACAGTAGATTAACCTGGCTTATTTCCCTTACGGACATTTGTTTTGACATTAACTCACATTAAACAACAAGGGTTAACATGTCAACTAAAAGTTATAAAATAACATTCATGATTTGAATGACAACCTTACAATAACAGAGCTAAACATTGTCAGCTAAGGCAAGGCCATTAGCTGCAGCAATGGGCCAACTGTTTACAGCAATAAATATTCAAGTAAAAGTGATTTTACATACAAATTTACAGTATTTGTCAAAATTCTAAAAGTAATGTATTGACAAAATAAAAAAAAGCACTGAGACAGAAATAGACGTATTCTAATGTACCAAAACTGAGGTGGTATGTTACAGTTAAAATAAAAGCACATTAAAAGAGTCAAAGCACTATTTTTGACCAAGGTGTTTGTAACAAATAAAAATTTATAATTACATGTCTTAATTTTGCAATCTGTCAAGTTAATATGGTTCGTTTTATAAAATGATACTGTTAAAAAAACAAACAAAAAAGACACTTAAAGCTGCTAAAAGAAACTCCACTATTTTCTGACCAACATGAAAATAACAAAATCCTTACTTATATTAGAATATACAAAATTATAAAGCTGAATTTTTACAAATGATTTAAAACTTGCTTTTCAATAAGAATATTACACGACAAAATAACCTTTGACCAAGCAGAGCTTAAAATAAAAATGTGAGAAAACTGGTTCTAAAAGTCATGTAGGGAAGAGAGTGGGCTTTATCAAAACACAATCCTTACAAGGATAGTTGTATACATCAGTACTCAACATTAGCAGTATATTCATTATTCTGTAACAAGAACACCTGAATACATGTCAACATCATCAAACTTAACACTCAACCGTGGCAAGCTAACATGTTTTACTTATATTTATTTAATGGTCTAATGACTAGATCACCTACCAGTTCATACATTATTTATTAATTGGTCTACTGACCATTTCATACATTATATCATTAGAAAATGACCTCTGAAAATAATCATTTTTTTCAAAATGCTCAAAGAATTTATTTTGCTCAACTCTGCTATTATCTGCTGCCTTTTGAAGAGTGAGATCAAAGAAAAAATGATTGACAAAATGTATTTGATAAACATCACAAATTTTGCTGAGAAAATGCCCTGACACAAACCTAAAAAGAAAGCAAATATTAGGCAACTGATGGTCTAGTAGCTTCAAGACAACAAAACCTATGCAGGACAGAAGAGCCAGATAGAAAGATGACAGACAGCCAACAGCTGGGTGTCTGACATAGGCCACCCTTGCAGCGTACAGTGCACCCAATATATGCACACCCAAGGCTAGTTCAAACCCTAGGCTAAAACACAGACTCAAAGCATAGCTGAAGCTTGATAGCAACATGATGAACCCTGCTCTCTGAGTAGACCAGCCATGCTGGTAATAAAGTCCCCAGACCAGCAAGAGGGAGAAGAAAGGGAAAGTGCACCACTGGTCCATCACTCCCCACAGCAACTGCTGGCTCACTATCCTAAACAGTTGAACAAAACCGTAAACAATGCTCATCAGGTTAAATGTGTAAAACAGAAAGGTGTCTCTACCTTTTAAAATTCCTTGCTCTGAAGATGCTTTAGCCATGGCAAGCCAGTTCAGCCCTAGACCAATGTAAGCAATGTTAATACAAGTATTAAGTGGCATAAAGGAACAAAATGGTAGCCAGGTTTTTTCCGCATAATGCTGCAAGCCAATTTCCAGTTCAACCTCATTAAAAAGTCCTGTGCATGCTATCAAAAGCATTCCACAAAATGGAATGAAGACACAGAGAACTGCAATGAGGAACATTTTAAAATAGATGTTCTTCTTGCTCAATCTGCTGGGTAAAATAAAAAAGTGTTCATAGCATGTCTGGCCACAGGGTGGGGTATGGCCTTACTTCTCTTGCCCAGTGGTCATGTGCAACAAGATGATTCACTTTTTATGGACCTTTGAGAAAGCTGTTCACAGGAAGAAGAATCTTTGATATTATTTGTTATAAAGAGTTTACAAAAGTTTTTTTTAGCAACTGGATGATTGGGATAGTTGTACAAATTTGAAATATTTTAATGATTAAGTTGAAAACTAACTTGAACAAAAATGTGACATAGGCTTACGACTTACCATGACGGTGATCTACCTGATGTAGAATCCCAGAATTGTACTTAATGTTTGTATCTCAAGCACATGTGTCTTCCTAGGAATAAAAACATTTATTTTTTTAAATTTTAATTACAACAAAGAAAAATTAGATTAGGTACTTCTTTAGTAAGGCAGTATAAATCTTTTATTAGGCGCAGCTAACCATATTTCTACTAAGTCACAGAACTACACTATTGTGTTGCTAACTCTATCAACCAAATATCACAAAAATACACCATACTGTATTATTGGAGAAAATAGAGCACATTTTTCACAAGCAAGGTTGACAGTGTTTGAAAAATGGATTTGACAAAACTGCTTGTTACATTGCAATCAAAAAACTATGCCAGAAAATATGATACAATTTCAGTTTTGATTTCCCACTAAAAAGAGGAGTGGTCTGTGAAAACAAAACAGTGACTGCCATCCAGATGATGCCCTCACCCTCTCCCTTTGATTCCCTTCCCCTACTATATTGACTATTGGTCACCTGACTAAGCAGCCAGACACAGGCGCATAAATGACCTCAGGGAAGACAGACCATATAAGACTGAAGACTTGCTCGGACAGGTGTGTCCCTTCCCCACCATATTGTTACAAAAGGTTTGCGCTGCTGTAATGCATAATTTTGCCACTGGCTTTTTGTTTATAGTAGCCCATTGTTCCAATAAATTCACTTGATTTATTTATATTCTGCTTTTTTAAAAAAAGTAGGGCCTATGGTATATGGCCTAGTTATAGCCTGAAAGTTATTAGTGCAAATTTACATAACAGAACCACCCCTAATTCAATATTTTATCAGTAGAATTTTTAAATTAAATCTTGCAAATAAATTTTTATAGTCTAAAATTTTCATCTTTTTCTTTTTATTTCTGAAAGAGCTTAATTCATAATTAAGATATTATTTTTTTTTGCTTTGTGTTACAAACAAAATTTGAGATACAAGGAACAGGATTAACAAGTTACACAGATCATGAAAAAGAAACACCACAAAAGCTGCAACCGATTTATGCATCGCAACTAGTTAATGACACTTTTCGTGTGGCAGAAAAGGCTAAGACCAGTGTAAAGTTGCCAAGAAAATTAACCAAAAGTAAAAATAAATTATAAAGTAGCATTGTCATTTAAGTTCAACTAAGTTGAATTCCATTAAGTTTAGGGATAAAGTGTAGCAATAGGACAGAGTGTAAGGAGTAGGTGAATTAAAGTGACTGATAGCGTTTAGCATTAGCATTAACAGTGTTAACAGTAGTCCTAATGAACTATCTTACTAAATAAAGACTCAAAATGTCCTAAAGGTAGCCTGTTGCTAGAATTCCTTTTTTTTTACCATCGTCATGGTAATGATGGCTGCCAAAAATGAAAATATCGTGATTCAGTTTTTAATAATGTTTCATGATCATTTCAGAAATATATACTAACGAGCCGACCCGCTGCATATCATACGCCGCTATTTAGTTGTTTTTTTTTCTACTTTTCAGTAATTTATAATTTGTGAATTCAACAGTACCAATGCTGCCATTGAAAATATTTGCTTAAAAACACTAACCCCCCCCCCCCCACGTGAAAGCAGCCTCCTCTTAGTTACCTCCTCTAAGTTTAAAATCGTTTCAAACTCAATTATCTGCCCCTAATAGCCGTCACCAAACCCGTCTCTATGATTGTAAAATGTAAACAGAGTGAACACCGCTCACCAGATCATGTGGGGGTGGGGTGGGGGTGGTAGTGGTAGTGATAGAGAGGAAGAGAGGGGACTGCAAAGGCGCGCTTGCAGCTTGTTTTCTAACTGATCCCAGAAGAGAATTATATATATAGATAATCGCTATTTTTGCATATTAATCAACTATACCAATCTAGTTTTAACCATTAATGTCCCATTCATTCTACCAAAACTCCACCCATGACGGCCCAATGTAAGGAGCATAACTCTGTATGATCAAGTGAATAGTTTCACAAAATATTTGTTTTTGTCTAAATGAAATTGAAAATTAAGATAAAAACTACTGCTTAATGTTGGGAATAAACCTGGCTTTCCAACAGTATTAAATAGAATATATTATATTCGGTAAAAGTACAGTAAAAAAATAAAAAATGTCGGAGAAAATTCAAAACAGGTCATTTTCGGTAGTCAACTTTATTTATTTTTGTCTAAACAACTAAGCATCGAATTTAACAGTTAAATATCAATTTGGTTATGTTTAAGATTAATAATTCATAAAATACATGCCTAGATACGTTTAGAGGCATTATTTTATTTTATTTTTAACATTAAATCTACTAAAAAAAGGACAGATGAGTCTAAAATTTCGAGATCGAAAGAAGCTATTATTTTTTATCTTTCAAAAGCGCCATTGAAATTATAAGACCGGAAAAGGATGGTGAAACTATCCGACTTCCTGTTTAGTTAAAAATTAGGATTTGTAGGCCAAATTTTAATGAAACAAATTTAATTTTTCTATGCGTATTTTAAGCGGGCGGCAGCGGGCGTTACGGGACATTAACGGTGTCGGGCGGCAGCGGGCGTTACGGGACATTAATGGTTAATAATGGACTATTAGTGTTTGATGCAAACTTGTACATTTGTTTGGTCTAATCACTGGGGATATCGTGCAGAAAATAATAAAAGTAGTTCTAAGTAAAACGTGAGTTTCTGTTTTTATATTGTTGTAAAAATACTCAAAATACTCTGAACTATAGAAAATTATATATTACGTCCTACTGAACTAATTTCATTAATGTCAAAAAAAAAAATTATGCAGGGTAAAAAAAACACCTAAAAACAATAACTTGATCAAGACAACAGCTAACTAAGCCCGCCCATTTTGCCCGACTGTATCAGTCTTTTCATTGTAGTTGTAGCCATTTAAAAACAAACATGTTTTTTCACAAATTATTTTCTAGTCTACGGATTAATTTTGATAATTAATATTATAATGACATATTGGTATCAAACTATTTAAATATTATACGACTTAGACGCCACTCTACGTTTTGTAAAGCAAGGCAAGTGTAAAGATTCAGAAGTAGATCTAGTAGTAGAGTAGGGCCTACCATTTTATTTTATTTTATATTTTATGTAGTTTCAGTCCAGTGAAGAAAACTGCTTTGAGATACGAACAATCTAGATTCTAGCCTTAAATAGGCTCTACATACTACATATCTATACACTATACAGTGGAGTATACCGTTATGTTTAGAGTTTTAGGTTTAATAGTTAATACTTAATACTAGATCTCTAGATCTAGTTAATACAACAGTTTTTTTAACTAACCAGCAACACAATGTTTGGTAGGTGGAATGTTGTTTTTGTTTAGACCGGTAGTTACCTTTGACCTTTCCTGTTATATCTCGGAATACAACGGGATAGCGTGAAATTTGCAAAGCCACTATACAGATAAATATTGATTCTTATTTATCTAATTTTTTTATATTTAGCTATTAACAAGTAATATTTTAGGATCTCATAAGCTCTTAATAAACGTTAAATAATTTTATTTCTCTTTCTCGCGTGAATGTACGGCGTTACAGTGAGGTCACGTGATATGCAAATCGTGTTTTCACATACGGGCGTTTAGTAAATTTGCATCTGTGCTTTCAATATGGCGGCTCCCATATTGAAGTGGAAGCGGGTTACTAATACTTCAGGACCGGCACCAAGACCTCGACATGGACATCGAGCAGTTGCAATTAAAGACCTTATGATAGTCTTTGGAGGTGGTAATGAAGGAATAGTTGATGAGCTGCATGTATATAACACATGTAAGTTGTTATTAATTTTTTACTATACTACAGATAGTACTACTCCATTACAAGATGGCGGCATTGTTGTGTTTGTTAAGCGCGTTTTTTTTCTCCGTAAAGTTATCAGTTTCCTTCCATCAGTTTTGAGATTGAACATCTTTTATAATAGTTGAAATGATGTGTTAATTTTGTCTGAATTTTGAAATTTCCTCGAAAAGTATTATTCATAACATTTCCTAAAATTCAAAACTGCCTTGGTTATTAAAATGCTTGATCTGTGACCCGAATTAATCAAAATGGCGGCGCCCTACTAAATAGGCGAAATAAAGTAAGTGATCGGTGTACATACAGTTTTATGATTATACACATAGAATTAATTACTTTTATAAAACCCATTATTATGGTTCATTTTGTGTATTTCGTTGAAGTATATAAATGATAGATTTCTTAGATTTTGAAACCAAATCTTTCAATCGAGTGGTTCTGATTCAAGATGGCGCCTTTCTAGCAGCTGTTCAAACTGCACATAGGTTCCGAGATTCTACGAGATGGGCAGTTGCATTTCATTAGTTGAGCTTGATCTAACCAAAACTGGGCGTTTGTAGAGTTACCGCCCACCCATTTGTCTCAATATCCGTGGCGGCATTCTTTGGAAAAAAAAGTCCCATTCTATTTAATAGTTTTAATCTTCGATATAGACGTCTAGATTCTAGTTACGCATATTTTAAAATCAAGTTGTAGTATAAGCCTACTAATGTAAAAAAAAAAAAGGTCTAGATCAAGGCCCAAATTTATTGTTAGCAGGGTGTACCTAGGTAGGGACATTCTTAAAAATGAGACTGGGAACGAGAGTTTGGGTTTAGCTGCAGTTTAGCGAAACAAATTTAAAAACAAATGGTCTGTGTCACCAATAATTATTAGGTTTCTCAACTATTACAGCTAGTTTAAGGTTATGACAAACCTTTTGATTAAAGCTGGGGGTTAAGATTTAGTGTTTTGTAGGACAGTCTGGTCTTGTTCATATCTATAATCTACATATTTATAGAACCTTTCTCAAGTAATATTTAAAGTCTAAATATGATTATATACAAAATGTTATATAGGTTTGGCTGATTTAAATACTAAAACCTTACACTAGTGTAAGGCTTCTATAACTGGGGTTACTTGGCATAAAGAATGTAATATTTAGTGCTACATATGAAGTGATATGTCTATTATGAGTAATGTTTTTCCCCAGCCACCAACCAGTGGTTTGTTCCAGCTGTTAGAGGTGACATTCCTCCTGGCTGTGCAGCTTATGGCTTTATATGTGATGGAACTCGTATTCTTGTCTTCGGTGGAATGGTGGAGTATGGCAAATATTCAAATGAGCTTTATGAACTACAAGCATCACGCTGGGAGTGGAAACGGCTGAAACCAAAGTCTCCCAAATCTGGTCCTCCACCTTGTCCAAGACTTGGTTAGTTTAGCTCATTTTTAATATTTCTGGACTAGTCTAAAAGTTGTCCCTTACGATAGTCAACAAAACATTTAAGCAGAATATTCTATTTGATTAGAGCAAACATGCAAATGATTACATTAAAAGGCAATATTTTTATTGTTGATTAGGTCACAGCTTTACACTACTTGGGAATAAAGGTTATCTTTTTGGTGGCCTCGCAAATGACAGTGAAGATCCTAAAAACAACATACCAAGGTCGGTATTGTATTGCTAAAAATCCTTTTCTATGTAGTTGATTTTACCATATCAGTTTTATATATATATATATACTACTTATTCTGTTATTTATATTATAGGTATCTTAATGATTTGTACACCTTGGAACTGCGTCCATTGTCTAATCAGTTATCATGGGACCTTCCTAATATTGTCGGTGCTCCTCCTCCTCCAAGAGAATCGCACTCAGCAGCACCTTATACTGACAAAGAAGGCAGAAAACCCCGTTTATTTATCTATGGCGGTATGAGTGGGTGTCGGCTTGGTGATTTATGGATGCTAGACGTTGGTAAGAAATCTTTTTTAAAAAACACCTATAAATAGTGTATATATTGCCATGTGTTTGGATTTTTTTTACTAATTGTAAAATCAACTTTTTTAATTAAAAAAAAGATACAATGGCTTGGATTCAGCCTACAGTGGCCGGCATGCCCCCACTCCCTAGAAGTCTTCACTCTGCCACTGTCATCAATTCACGAATGTTTGTTTTTGGCGGTTGGGTCCCTCTCGTAATGGATGATGTTAAGGTGGCAACACATGAGAAAGAATGGAAATGTACAAACACTTTGGCTTCATTAAATTTAGGTAATAGCCCTTACTTATTCCTTTTCCTGATTTTCAAACTACTTTTGTAAAATACTACTAATGGTCCCACAAAGGAATAGTAAATGATTTGTTAAACTTCTATTTTAGAAACTATGGCTTGGGAGCCTTTAGCAATGGAGGTTTTTGAAGATGCATTGCCTAGAGCAAGAGCTGGTCATTGTGCTGTTGCTATCAACACAAGGTTGTATATTTGGAGTGGTCGTGATGGTTACAGAAAGGCATGGAATAATCAGGTTTGTTTTAACATTGGATCTTTGTTCAGAGTTAGCAACTTTTTTTTTTTTGGGTTAATTAAGCCAAATTTTCTTTAATTTCATATGTATTCTCTATAGGTCTGCTTCAAAGACTTATGGTTCTTGGAGACTGGTGAGTTTGTATTTTTATATTTCTTGCATTGGAAACCATTATTTAAAAAAGGCCCATTATTTAGGAAGTGAGAGAATGAGCCCACTTATTTTTATTTGAACAGAGAAGCCACCAGCTCCGTCTCGTGTCCAGCTGGTGAGGGCCAGCACAAACACTCTGGAGGTTTCTTGGGGAGCTGTCCCCACAGCTGATGCTTACTTGCTGCAGCTGCAGAAGTATGACCTCCCACCATCCACTACAACAGCCGCTGGCACCACTGTGGCTACACCTACGGCTGTTACTGCTGCCCCTGCCACCCCTACTCCTACAGTGGCAGCGCCATCAACACCTGTTACTACCCCAGTTACACCCACATCTGCTGTGACCCAGGCAAGACCCCAGTTCCAGTTCACCGGACAGCCTGGTGGAATCATCAGGACACCAACAACAGGTGAGGAATTGATTTTAGCCCTTACTTTTCCAACCCTTCATACACTAGTCTAATTTTGCAGATGTAACTTAACTTTTGTGGAGGCCTCCCTTAGAAGTTCCAATGAAATCACTATGACCACAGAGTTGCAGCTGTGTTGTTAAGCTAATGAACTTTGCCTCTCGTTGTGATTTTTACTTAACTAGTTTGGGTTTGCTTGAGATACTCTTTAATTTAAGTAGTGCTTTCACTGAATTAAAGGCGCCACTGGCTTTTTCCTTGTGATATATCTGTCCTAATACAGATATATTTGCTTACAATGCTTTCCATCTCTCAGGATTACCTATCCGCACAGTTACTAGTGTGGTGTCACCTTTGACCCCTGGTCATACAACACAAACCATCAGAGGTAGAAGTATATATTTAATCATTTGAACCTTTTGCATGTTTGACTGTCCTGCTTATTGATGCAATGACTTGCTTGTGTCTGGGATTGTCTCTCTACTTGTTCATTATTGTTGTACTCAGCTGTTTTAACATTCCTCTCCACAGTTAACATATTCTTGCTGGCTGTTTTCTACAATTGATCTAAGTTAACATATTCTTGCTGGCTGTTTTCTACAATTGATCTAAGTTAACATATTCTTGCTGGCTGTTTTCTGCAATTGATGCAAGCTACCTTTACTTTATAGCTATTTTAAGTGGTATAGAGTTTTCAGGAGTATGTGACACTCTGAAGATTCCTGTCAATCAAGCAGAGATTTATATTTGCATGCAGTATTAGTTGATGTATTTTATTTCTAGCTTAATTGTTTGCCTATTATTTTTTTGCTTTAAGTATTTCTAACAGAGGAATATAAGGTTTGGTGGACCTGGCCATGCTTTGTTTTGCGTTGTTGTTAAACGTCACTGTAACAATTGATTGCATGGCATCTTAAGTAAATGTGTTGCTAGTAATTGATTGATCAGAATTTAAATTGATGGATCAAATTTGTCAGATTTTGGCTTGCCCAGATAATTGTTCATAAGCATTCCAAAGTTGGCACCTCCCTTGTATATGAGGATAATAAAAATATAAGTGCACTCTTGTTTGACTAGGTAGACCACCTCAAAGATGGCATATGTATGCACTACAATACCAACTTTTGTATTTTAGAAAAGTATGCTCAAACTGGTATTTTGATTCAGCTGATTAGCACAGTTTATCACATTTGCCATTTTATTTTGCCAAGAATTAATCTAAATACAAATTATGTTGTATTCTATGTGTTAAGTAAGTTTTAAAAGATTGTTCACTCAATCATCCTATTTCACTTTTAAGAAATTAAAAAAAATCAGCTTAAGAATGAGTGTATAATGATTGGATGTTACTCTAGTTGATAATTTTATGTTTGTCCATTAATTAAACTTTGCTGTTGCAACATGATTTATTCTATTAACATAGTCTACCTATGATACAGCCCTACTTTACTTATGATTCATATTTTATATATTTTATCTGTAATTTTACCAGCCCTTTACCTGAAATATTGATTGTTTTTATTTTTTTGTTCCAGTAACTGCTGCACCTCGTATAAGAGCCCCTATGACTATCACGCCAGTGGCCAACACAATTCGTGTTGCTACACCCCAGATAGCCAATGTCAATCAAACATTGCGGGTCACCAATGTCACAACAACTGTAAATAGCTTTTCCTGCTTTAAACTACATTTCTTAATGTATAATGTAGAATCACTGTAGGTGAGTAACACATTGTTTGTATTTTCAGACATCCGGCAACATGTCTGGCATTGCGGCTCTAGCTGCAGCTGCTGCTGCCACTCAAAAGATTCCTGGCACAATGGCCAGTGCCACAACTACACCAGCATCTGGAATTAAGGTTGTCACTCCCACTATTGTTACACCAGGTGGAGTCAAGGTTACTCCAGTCACAACCAAATTGCCCAGTAAGTATTAACATGAGGTGCAGATTATTTTTTATGGTTTTGAATTCAATATGAAATTCTGTTGACTAAACCCCTGACTTTGATTCTTTAGCCAGCACAGTTGCTCCTGGTACTCAGACTGTGAGAGTTGCTCCCACTGGTGCAACCATTCTGAAAGCTTCTGGTTCTGGCACTAATCTGACAGGTAAACAAATCATTACAGTGCACAAAGCAGGAACTACTGGATCAAGTCAGTCTCAGATTGTCACTCTAGTGAAGACAACACAAGGCATGGCAATGGCCAGTGTAAGTTTTTTTTTAAAATTAGTTATTTGCATACATGTCATGCTTGTCTTATTGTTCCACTAAAATTGGTTTGTTTTTTAACAGCCTAAGAACCCATTACCTCAAGGTGCAACGATAGTAAAGTTGGTGACCACTCAAGCTGGTGGCATTAGCAAGCCTGCCACTGTGCTCTCTACTCAGTCAAGTGCTGGACAAACTCCCACCATCCTGGGCATCAGCAGCGTGCAACCAAGTGTGAGTGAATACATCATCTTATTTAGTGTGCTTTAGTTTAGATGATAGGTGCCTTGACTGACATGAATCTATTTCTTTGTTTAGCAACAAGCTACACCTGGACAAAAGACATTAACAACCATGATTAGAACAATTCCCACATCAATGCTCTCCATGGCTAAATCTGGGCAGACTGTCACTCAGGTTAGCACCACACCTGTTGGCACCAAGACCATCGTCATTGCTGCACCTAAAGGCAGCGCTGGCAACCTGAGTCAGCCTACCAAGATCATCACTAGTGTCCCTAAACTAGCCGGCCAGTCTGGAAATACTCAGTTCATTGTTGTTAGCCCGCAGAGTGTGGCAGGGGCTGTTGCTGCTGGTATGTTGTTTTCATTTTCATGGTTTGAAAGTCTTGCAGCTGATCACATGGTTTGAAAGTCTTGCAGCTGATCACATGGTTTGAAAGTCTTGCAGCTGATCACATGGTTTGAAAGTCTTGCAGCTGATCACATGGTTTGAAAGTCTTGCAGCTGATCACATGGTTTGAAAGTCTTGCAGCTGATCACATTGTTTGAAAGTCTGTTACGAATCATTTTTAAAGAATATACTTAAGTTTTACTCGCAGCTGTTTGAGTGAAAAAATCTATAGATTTTGTTAACTCTTCCAATGCTGTGTGCACAGGTAACAAACCAGCATCTGGGATAACATCTTTCAGCTCAGCAGGAAATCTCATCTCACAAGCTGGTAAACCAGTCATCACTGTACTTTCTGGTGGTGAGTACTAGTAATGACCCAACACCCGGGCTGGGCTAGCTTCTGACTTCTCAGTTGTTGCATAGAGTTTAATTATAAAATGGGAATTACATTGCTGCTTTGTATTGCATATCTGTACATTATGTACCTGAACTTGTGCATTTCCTGAAACCTCAGTCAGACAACCCAGCCCTTGTTATTATTTAGTTTGATAAAGCATGCTGAGTCTCATCTGATTGATTATTGCATGGTTAGTTCATGTGTAACCACAATAGCCATAACATGCTAGGTGATTCTCAGCTCAATTTCTATGCTTTACGAGTTTTAAAAAAATTTTCTCTTCCCAAGGTAAGAAGTCGTTCCGCACTATTTTATCCACAGGATCAACAGCCGGGACCCACTCAGTGACTCCAGCTGGTGGCCACACTGTTGTAACATCCCCCACCATGCGTGTCGTTAGCAGCAATGCTTCAACCATCTCCCTGATTACACAAGCAGCAAGTGAGGCCTCGGGTGGGAGACAGATCGTGACAGTACCTGCGGGGCACGCCGGTCTCTCTGGAGCAAAGGGGCCAGTGCAGATAACAATCACCCCTGCCAACAGAGGAGGAATCAACACAATAACCTTGCCCTCTAACCTGCGGCAGATAGCCAAACCAGTTGTTGTCAACACTGCTGCAGCTAATGGATCACAAGTTGTCAGTCTTGGTGGCTCCACCAACGCGCAGGTGGTGACTGTCACTCAGCCCATGACAGGCTCTGGAGATCAGACCAATTCTGCCATCAGCAGTGAGGCAGAGTCAGCTGGAGATGGCACAACACAGGCTGGTGATGGAGATGGGGGTATTCAGCAGTTTGATGGGCCATCAGATGATCTCACTCAAGATGAAGAGGAAGAGAGTTGCCAGACATCATTTATGCTCGCTGTGTCTGAGGTGAATTGTCTTGAGACAAGTGTACATTGTGAGGATCACCTGTATGCTGTGTCAGATGTGTCGGATAGCTTTGTTCTTCCCCAATTTGATGGAACCGATGATGGTGGTGTGGATGAAGAGAGAGACAACCAGGACCCTGCAGCTGAACAAGATGCTGCTACTGAACAAGCTGGTGAAGGACAGCCGGAACAAGATTCAGCAGAGAATGAAGCAGTTTCTGAAGGAGCTGGTATGGAAGAAAGTTTACATGCTGATGTGGGACACCTAGAACCTTCCCTGGATGGTCAGGTACTGTCTTAAATAGATTGCTAATATAGTTTGACCTTACTGTACATTTTGATTTTAAAGCTGTGGCAGGTTTAGAAAGGGCTCAAGTCAACACAAATCGACAACACTATAGAGAGGCATTGCTGAATGTGATCTTGTTAGAACTCTTCATGAATCATACTAGTCCATTAACAGTACCAATGTGGGGGAGGGGGTTGTATTGGATTGATTTTATGTAATGTGGGCTTAAGATATGTGACCATACTTACTATATGTATTTCTTACAAGTAAAACATTTTAAAAATATATACATACATATAGATAAATTGCATTTATTGGAGAGCAAGCACCTATTTACATATTTTGTTAAGTGGGAAAATTTGCCTGTCTAATCAAGCATGTTTCTCAACTTTTAATTAATTGAAAGGACTTTCATCACATTTTAGAGAATGGAGTACATCAGTTACCTGTCCTCATCTTTATTTTCTGAAAATATCTGCGCTACAATCTTATGATTATCCAAAATAGTCTGAATGCTGCGCCTAGACTTAAGTTATTTTAGCAGAAAGTTCAAAGTTCATTTTGTTTTTTTCTTTCACTAGTACTTATAGTTGTTGATTTTTTTATTGCCTGTAGCTAATATATGAATCCTCAAATCTGGTAGAAATGCATTTCTCAGCTCATATTCTGCTTGCTAGGGCAGGTCACCCCCCCAAAAAAAAAACACCACACACCAACACAAGAAACAGCAAACCTAGATCGTTTTCAATTTTTCAGGAGGAAGGACATCAAATGACAGATGCTGAGCTTCAACAGCAAGCTGAGAGTGCACTAGAAGCATTAGCTGAAGCAGGTGGCGTGTTAGCAGCACAGAGTATGTTAGAGGACCAAGGAGTTCTGGAAGGTGTTAGTCTAGAAGGTGTTCTGGCCCAGCAGTCTGCATTAGATGCAGCTCATCAGATGGCTGATGAAGGAACAGAACAGCCAGCAGAAGACAGTAAAGCTAGTGTAGAGCTACATCCTACAGACAGAGCTCAAGCAGAGGAAGCCATGGACACATCAGATGCCCATCTGGAGCCAAAGGAAGAACCTTCTGATGAGACCCTGGCGTCTTTGGCCCAGACTTTGGCCAATGCTTCCAGTAATGGTGGGGATGCTGCAGGTGAAGCTGAATTTTACTAGCTATTTGAAACTGACACATTTTTTGTTGTTGTAAATATCTGATTCTCATTGATGCATGATTTTTTCTTCTACCATTTATCAAGACTGGATGTTTGCCCTTACAGATCCTCTTGCTACATTAGCCTCAGCTGCCATCTCCTCAGCCCCTGTTGCCACCCCTAAAACTTCTGATGCCAGTGTAGGCAGCAATGATGGCAAGATTGAAGATTTAAAAACTGAGATGAAGCAAGAAAGAATTTTGGTGAAGAGAGACCAACAGCAGTGGTTTGACGTTGGCTTCATCAAGTCTACATCCTGCACAGTCTCACATTACCACTTGCCCTCTGAAAACAGTCAAGGAAATGCTGATGTAATTATTGTCTTTTCTTTATGATTTTCATTGTTATCAAGTGTTTGTGGGTCATCTAAGTCTTGCTTGTACTTTGTTTCAGGATATTGATGTTGTCAATGTGCCAGATCATAGTGCACTGAAGCGTCAAGAGCTTCAGCCTGGGACAGCTTACAAGTTTAGGGTGGCAGGCATCAATGCATGTGGGCGTGGTCCTTTTAGTGAAGTCTCAGCATTTAAAACTTGCCTTCCTGGCTTTCCCGGAGCACCTTCAGCAATTAAAATTAGCAAAGTAAGATTTTTTAAAAAGACGTCCTTCTTTGATTACTATCTATAATTGCATATCTGAATAAACTGTTAATCATTTACAGAGTGGAGATGGGGCACATCTTTCCTGGGAACCACCCCAGAACACTGCAGGAAAAATTATTGAATACTCAGTCTATCTGGCTGTACGAAACCAGAGCCAAGATACGAAGCCAGGGGCCCCAGCTCAGCTTGCCTTTGTACGTGTGTTCTGTGGGCCTTTGCCCTCGTGCGTGGTGACAAATTCTTCTCTGACCTCTGCCCATATTGATTATACCACAAAGCCTGCTATTATCTTCAGAATTGCAGCACGTAATGAAAAAGGTTACGGCCCAGCAACTCAAGTTAGGTGGCTACAAGGTAGGTTTGCTCATCCCAAGCTTTAACATTGGTGGCTTGTTCAAGTTAGTGATAAATAGCTGATAGTACAAAATTTTCTATCCTTTAGCATTTGGAAGAAAGAAAATGTCATTTGAAAAAAAAAGAACATCCCTTCTATTTAACTGAAATGAAATATTATATAAATCAGAAAGTTGTAAATACATGGACATAATTTTCTATGTGATTGAATAGACTTGGCTTAAAAGTAGTTAACCTTAGATTTTTGTTGTTCAGATGCATCGCAGAGTCCAGCAGCTGGTGCTAAAGGGGCCAAGAGACAGGGTGCAGAGAATGTGTAAGTTACCCTTTTTGTAAACTACGTTAGATTTTTACTGGACTGCGCATAGTGATTCCTTTCTAATTAAGTTTTGCTGGAGACATTAATGGAAACCAAAATTTAATTTTTTAAATTTAATTTATTATTTACTTATACATGAAAAGTTTATTTTCAACGCCTAAAAATTGTAGAAATTTTTTTTAGTTATTGCTAACAATGTAATTTAGTTAAATTAAAACTAAAAGATTGTATGTAATACAGTAGTTTTAGAAAATAGTTTCATCTTTTTAAAAATATTTTTTTTGGTGAATTTGCAAACAATACGGGTTTTTAATGTTATAGTTATATTTTTTTTTTTTTTTTTTTTTTTTGTAAATTTATTTATGCATAATAAATGAAATATTCTCCTCTGCACTGCAATTTTATTCAATGTTTTCTGAGTGAATATTTTTGTGGTAAAAAAAATTGCAGCACAGTTTTATCTCTGGTTTGGCCAAGCATTATTATATTGCTTGGCTGGACTGGAGGCAAATGTGCCCACAAGGTCAGTTTATTCTATGACGTTAAAATTTGATTTCAGTAAACCTGGTACTGTGGTGAAAAAGTTGAAGGTGGAAGATGCTGGTGAAGGCTAACGTGCCCCTGTGTACGGTGCTGAAATAGAAATGTTACACCAATTAAGGACCTGCGCATTCATAAGACAGCTGTGTATGATGTACTTCTTTCTGTGGTCTATGAGCCATTTTGTTAACTTCCTTCATTACCTGGCCATAGGCCTAGCCACATCAAGTGACCTTCATGACTTCACTCACTGTGTATGATACACATGGATGTCTCCTCCATACTTTCATTAGTTTTGTCCTACATTAATACTTAATTGATATTTTTATTCTTATTTTGTGGAACTTGGTAAAAGTCAAGATCATTGAATTACTCGTACAAGTTTATTATATATTTCTTTTACAGTTTATTTTTAAATTGCTGTTTGTGTTTTTTTTAATTGGCTTTATGATTAAAATATCACTCTAAAATTGAGATACACTTCCTTAGCTTGTGGAAAAATAGTGCTATTTTTACTAGGCTTTTTATGGGCCTACAGAGAGGTAACTTTATTCCAACACTTATTTTTGTATCATTCAAAGAATTCTAGAGTTCTATGCAGTAACATAACGTAATTGCAATCTCTTGTCATCAATTTCATATATTCTTATGATTAGTAGTCATACTTTATGTATGAATTTATGTTGTGATCCTATGCCATATGAATGGAGTGGTTTGTTAACCAGCATTTGTATATTTATCATTCTAGTTGTGTACATTTTAACTGTTTTTATTCTTATGGAAAGCATTTTTATTGATGAAAAGGAAGAATGGAGAGACTCATGAGCCCCAAGCTTGTAAGTGTAGCTAGTCAACTAAAGTGTTTGTTGTTTGTCTTTTTTAGTATGTCATATTTTTACAGATCTCCTCAAGGAAATGTAGATAGTTGCGTGACTTAAACTGCTGTAGCTAGGTCAATTTTTACTTCATTTTTAATCTTCATTCCGGTGAATTTTATTCTAGATTATTTTTTCAATCCATATTTTTTTAATTTCATTAAAGAATGACAACTGATTCCAAATTTTTAGGAAGTTTTAGTAAAATGATAAAATATAATTTATTAACCTCATTTATAGAAGAATGCTGAAGTTTTTTCATAAAGTGATTATGGTCAACCATACATTGAGAATGCTGATGACTAGCTATAAATATTTGTTGTGAAAATGTGTAAATATTGTACAAACAATCTAGTTTTCCATGTTTGTAATTTAGCATGTGTCACTGTGAAATATTTGACTAGTTGAAATTGTTTTAACATGTAATCTAAGTTGTTTGCCCAAGGACATATCTTATTATTGTTCTGTTAGTATCTCAAGGACAATTGTTTTCTTTGAAGTTTTCTTTCAGTATTGTGTGAATATTTTCAGCTGTTTTGTTTAGTATCTGATAACATTGTGGGGCCAGCCGAGTTGAGGTATCATGATGGTTCATGTATGTATTATACTTGGGTATTTTCCTAGTTATAATTTGAAGCAATATTTTCTTGATGTATCTCTCTGAATTTGTTACTGGTATTACTGTTGGACTGCTGCTTCCAGTAGCTCACAGCTAGTATTTTGACAAGAGAAAACATCATTTTTTTAAACTCCATATTTTGAGTGTCAAAATTGGTTCTTGTAAAAATGTTTCAAGAATGTATGAAAATATAGTGTATTATATATTGTTTGTACATAGTTCATCCACTTCACTGTTTCAATACCATTTATGACAATTATTCAATAAAATCTAATTTTAACTGTTTTATAGTTGGTTATTTATTGTATTAGCCAGCCTGTCATTAGCTTAAAGTCCTAGCTATTGATTCTAGTTCCAGGAGAGGGAAAAGTATGGTGGAGCAGATTTGGTTCGTTTTACTTGAATAAATATTTGTGATGTACCAGATACTTAAAAAATGAGTGCATTTTTTAAATATATTTTTTGGCTAGATGCAGGATCCCCCTTGGTGTTTGTTATTGCAACCACATTGTTTCAACACTACAAAATTGTCCGTATAAAATTAAATGGTTACTGATATCTTCTTACAAACAAAAAAAAAGGTCAATATTCATGTTCTAAGTTCTTCTTCGTTCTTAATTTTAGTGTTGGAAGATAATAGATCTAATTATTTTCTAAAAATTCAGTTGGGCCTTCTAACTACACATTGACTGTCAAAGTAGTTACATAATAAAAATGAAAGAAGCTGATTAACTAGTATACCTAATCTGACGGTATTTGCCATTATATAGATCTAGTATTCCTGCACTATTCCTCGTTTTGAATGAAAATGTTAAATTTGTTTTCATAAGTTATTTTCATATTTTTCTACCATGACTACAATTTAGCCTATGTGTACGAAAATTTGTATCTGAGAATAGATATTCCAGATTATTCATATTCATTTTTTTTTAAATGTCTCTAAGCTCATTATGGGATTGTAAGGGAACGACGCCACACTCATAGGAAAGGGGAGGGGTGCGGCATTTTGTGGGGACGGGTTCAGAAAGTGTCGCCTGTCGACAATATTTGCACTTTAAAAAGATCATAGTGTAAGAAACAGAATTGTAGCATTATTTCATGCCTTTATGAATTGTAATGGGAATTGATTAATATACTCAATATTGTCAGAGCTAAGAAAATATTTCATATTGATATATTTAAAAAATAAAAACTGCAATTTTGTGGGGGTAGTAGGCTGAGGTATGACGTAATTTTAAGGGTGGGGATAGGCTTACTTGCTTATTGTGGCGTTGGGTAAGGAGGAGGTAAAAAAAATCATCGAAGTGTGACGTCATTTATGTATGCCCCGCCCCCCTATGAAGTTTAACTAAGCAGTAGCAAGGGGGGGGGGGGGCATATGTTCCCGGGCGCCGACCTTAGGGGGCGCCAAAATGGGTTGGAAAAATAAATTGAAAGGTTGAGGGGGGTGCCAATTTGAAAGTTTGAGGGGGGGGGTGCAGATCAAAATCTTGAGGGGGGGGGGGGTTGCAAATCGAAAAGTTTGTCCCCGGGCGCCGGGAAGGGTCGCTACGCCTCTGTAACTAAGGCTTCTTAAAAGTAAAGACAAAATTGAAAAAAAAAAAAACATTTTAATATATTTAAATCCAATATTTTAGATTGTGGGGAAAAGTTACCATTAGGTTCTAGAACGAGATAGTGCTGTATAAGTTTTAATCTAAACCTAGATCAGGGAAGTCTAGGACTTAAAATCTTACTTAGGCCTACTTTATGTTTTTAAATTCTAGACTAAACCTACTTTTGTCCTTGTGCGCACCCAATGGGGTTTAACATCCGGTTCACAATTTCCTTATATAGTCGCGCAATGAAGTCTGCTCGCATTGAGGTTTCATTACTCGTTACAATCATGAAGTTTGTTATTACTGTTAGTAGATTTAGTATACGATGCATTGGTAGAAAAACAATACATCTTGTATCCAAACGCTCTCTTAAACTTAAAAGATTATCTAGCTGTTTGCTACACCGAAAAAAACGTCTAGATCTTAGGCCTTGATCTCAAGATCTATGAGATCTAAATCTAGCTGAGTGTCTACTAGATCTATATCTAGATTCTAGGCCCTAGTCTAGATCTTGGAAGATCTCGATTTAGATCTAGATTCTAGAAACTATAGATCTAGTCAAGCTTATTACTAGACTAGATCTAGATATATTGTAGATTAAAAACAGAATTATTCCAGATCTATTAGATCTAATTTTAGTAATTTATCTACCAGAATCTACATTTTCTAGATTAACCTAGAGTCGTAGATCTAAAAATCTTCATTATTAATAAATAATTTCTAGATTAATATATATCTAGAATCTATATTCTAAATCTAGCTAGTTAAGTCTAGATTCTAGATGTAGTACAGATCCACTAGTCTAGTAGTTAGTAGATCTAGATCTAATCTAGAATCTAGACTGAGATCTCAAACTTATTCTGCAGACAAAACTAGAATCCTAATCTAGATTAATGTAGATCTACATCTAAAGTATTCCAGATTTAGAGTAGACTTTCGTAAATTACAGTGTAAACAGTTCAGTAGGCCAACCAGATCTAGATCTAAGTTTAATAGATTTTAGATCTAGACTAGAAACAAGATCTCTGTCCGCCCCCTCCCCCCCCCCCCTCGCCCGCCCTCCACTCAGTGCGGGAAGATATAACTATAGCGGCCGATGACGAAATGCTGACATCACACTGTTGACGTCACACTGTCCGCGACACTGACCTACCCACATGTCATGTCCACAGCAAGCGACCTACCCACACAACACACTGTCCCCGGCACTGACCCACCCACACATCACACTGTCCATGTCACTGACCCACCCACACATCACACTGTCCATGTCACTGACCCACCCACACATCACACTGTCCATGTCACTGACCCACCCACACATCACACTGTCCATGTCACTGACCCACCGCCACGTCATGTCCACAGCAAGTGACCCACCCACACACCACACTGTCCATGTCACTAACCCACCCACACATCACACTGTCCATGTCACTGACCCACCCACACATCACACTGTCCCCGGCACTGACCCACCCACACATCACACTGTCCATGTCACTGACCCACCCACACAACACACTGTCCATGTCACTGACCCACCCACACAACACACTGTCCATGTCACTGACCCACCCACACATCACACTGTCCATGTCACTGACCCACCCACACATCACACTGTCCATGTCACTGACCCACCCACACATCACACTGTCCATGTCACTGACCCACCCACACATCACACTGTCCATGTCACTGACCCACCCACACATCACACTGTCCATGTCACTGACCCACCCACACATCACACTGTCCATGTCACTGACCCACCCACACATCACACTGTCCATGTCACTGACCCACCCACACATCACACTGTCCATGTCACTGACCCACCCACACATCACACTGTCCATGTCACTGACCCACCCACACATCACACTGTCCCCGGCACTGACCCACCCACACATCACACTGTCCCCGGCACTGACCCACCCACACATCACACTGTCCATGTCACTGACCCACCCACACATCACACTGTCCATGTCACTGACCCACCCACACATCACACTGTCCATGTCACTGACCCACCCACACAACACACTGTCCATGTCACTGACCCACCCACACATCACACTGTCCATGTCACTGACCCACCCACACATCACACTGACCCACCCACACACCACACTGTCCCACCCACACATCACACTGTCCATGTCACTGACCCACCCACACATCACACTGACCCACCCACACACCACACTGTCCATGTCACTGACCCACCTACACATCACACTGACCCACCCACACATCCCACTGACCCACCCACACGTCATGTCCACAGCAAGCGACCCACCCACCCCCAGCCCGAGCCACGCTGTCCACATCGGGCGATCTGCCCATCCCAAGCCCGGTTCTTTAGCCGTGCACAGAGAGACATCGGCTAACTCCTGCATCCAGCGCGTGGGTGCGCGTGAGCGACGTGCCACTCCTCCCTCCCAGCAGACGACAGGCAGCACGTGCCATCACAGAATCGTGAGTAGTTTTGTTATCACCGTTGACCTACTCATCTGACGCTCGATTGTTTAGTTTTCTATAGGTAGTTTACGGGCTGTTTTTTAAAACTAATAATGAGTAAAAACAAATTCATATTTTTTGTTTGTATCACTAGATCTGATAACGGAAACAATGACTTATATTTCTGCTTTGCATGACAACGCTGCCTGTATATTTCAATCATTTGGTTATTGCAGCTTAGCTGCTGTTTAGAAATTGTTGATAGATCTTATATCTCATTGAAGTTTTAATATTTTTTTTTTGCTTTATCGGACATAGGCTTGTGTCCATGGGGTTTATGCTGTTAGGGATATCTTAGGTTGGGCTAGCTATATGTGGGCATGTTAGTTGGGCTAGCTATATGTAGGCATGTTAGTTGGGCTAGCTATATGTAGGCATGTTAGTTGTGGTAACGTACGGCTAGCTATATGCAGGGCTAACTATGTAAGAAACAATTCTACCATACGTCATCACAAAACACTCACAGGAAGACAGTTTCATCCTTCTCATTGTAAACAATAATACTAGCACATAATTATAATTCGTGTTTGATTGATGTGTTGAAATATTTGCACGCCGGCCTCACACAAATTACGTACATTCACTTTTTGATGGTCACTATTGTATTTTTAAAAAGACGGTAAAAACCGAATTCTAGTACAGTAGAATACGGATTGCTGATTATCTCAAAAAATGATTATTTGTCGAATGTGTAAACGTGAATTGTTGTAAGCTGGCTAGAACGACACACTTTAAATAAACCGGGAGTGATCTCCCCTAAAATATATTCTTATATAACTTAGACATGATCTTTAATTACTTAAACTTTTAAAAATAGAATAGAATCTCATAGAAAAAAAGAATTGCGCACCAAGCGAACGCCAAAACAAAATGTGCATAATAGTGCGCAATATTATTAGTACTTTATAAATTTACATGCGTTTTTTGAGAAATCGGAAATAGCGTAAATTAGTACTTCCGGTCAACGGAATTACTCAAAATTTGACAGAAGGTAGAGAATTAGATCTTTTACTTACATGTGAAATTCCATTTATCTATCTCAAATAGTACTAAAGTTATAGGCTTTTGAAAAATTCAAAGTAGAAAAAGTACCACTTCCGGTTATCAGAAATCGCTCAAAAGTTTATCAGGATCTACGATTTTGATTAAATACTTATATATGAAATTTCATCAACCTAGTTGTAACGGTACTCAAGTTTTCGTGTTTACAGACAGACAGACACACAGACAGACATACGGACACATTGCAAAATTATGTTTTTCCGTATCAGTGAGGTTTGTAAAAATCTCGATTTTTTTTGCACTATTACAAGACTTTCTCTATACTTCGTATATACGAGAAAGTAAAAATGGATACGATCTTTATGTGCTTTATCAGGTCACACCCACCCCGACAAGGTTGGAGCTGTATTTTTTTTACTCCTCTGAGTTGGGGTTTTTGTATATAAAATATTTCCTGGGGAGATGTGTCGGTGGATATTTTTGTCTGGGAAGGTGGTGATAATTGTCCGGATACTACTCACTACTAATATAGTGTACTCACCAATACGTACTATGTACACACAAACAGAAACACATGTACACCCATATACAGTAACCTACAGATACACACACACGCCGTATTTGTTTACTCATGAACGAACAATTATCGCTTAATTAATGCGGTTACTATTGATTTGCGATATTGATCTGGAAAATGTGAATTCTCAGTGGCCTTTCGTCAAAGACAATTGCATAATGGTACTTTATTTTTCATACAGTATCGATTTCTGTGTGCGTTCATTCAATGACACGCTGGGAATGACGTGGTAGGTCTTTAACTATGTGTGTGTTTGGTGTAGCAAAATGGAAACAAACTAATAGGTCTTTTACATTGTGTGTGTTTGGGTTTGGTGTAGCAAGATGGTTGCGAAACTAATAGGTCTTTATCATTGTGTGGTGTGTTGTGTGTGTTTGGTGTAGCAAGATGGAAACAAACTAATAGGTATTTAACTATGTTTGGGTTTGGTGTAGCAAGATGGTTGCGAAACTAATAGGTCTTTATCATTGTGTGTGTGGTGTGTGTGTGTGTGTTTGGTGTAGCAAGATGGAAACAAACTGATAGGTCTTTAACATTGTGTGTGTTTGGTGGAGTAGCAAGATGGAAACTAACTGGTCTTTAACACAATGTTTCTGGATGGAGCAGCTGACTATTTAAAGATAAACATCAGACATTTAAAGGGCCAGTAACTTTACTCAGGACACCAATCATTTAAAGGGCCAGTAACTCTACTCAGGACACCAATCATTAAATACTCAACAATGAAATAAATCAGTATTAGTGAACTCATTTAAATTAAATATTTTACATTTTGCGACAGTTCGGGCATTGGGCCTATCTGCCTTTGGGGAAAGAACTTCCGGCATTTGTCATGGAGTTGATATTAACACGGTTGATAATTTCAAAAGTCACAGCAGTTTTTCTTGATAAAAAAAAGTAAAACCTGGCTCGAAAACATTAACACCAATCTGCTTGTAACACGCTGTTCGTAGGTTTAAATAAAAGCCTTTGATTCTACTGATCACACTACCCTTCTTAGAACTAATTCCACGAAAGCACAGCTTAATTACTTCACTCTCTCTTATCTCGTCAAATAAGTATATCAGCATTTTTTTTTTACACTCAGCGTATGCTCGTGCAAGAGCGAGTAACAAAATATAACACAATATGTCAAGTAACTTAATCAGCGGACAACAGTGAACAGTTTGCAACTTCACCTTGAAAAAACCAAGTCAGCGCTCATTATTACACAAAATGTCAACAATTTCCACCCAATTCAATACATTTACAACAGCAAATAAAATAATCGAACAAGTAATTAGTTACAAATACCTAGGGTTAAATATTGATCAGTCTTCCCTGGTCCGATCTTATTCATCTTAATAAAGATCTTAAAATTGTGTTCATTATACAAGCATATTTATTTTCTACGAAGCATTCACACAGTATATGACAGATAATGATTTTGTAGTCTGGAGTAGCAGCTTTATAACCCAATAGCATCCTCTCTTAACGATATACAAATGGCCATAAGACAAGTAGCTGGCTTATCTAATAATCTCTAGACACAACAAAACTATTTGTAACAGAAGCCAAAGAAAGACATATTGAATTGTCTCCCATTGTCTCCCAAACTGACTCATCGCAATGTTTTCATCTAATTCCACTTCACTATGGATTTTTGTAAATGTTTTTCATCTTTGTCCTACATTTTAAATGTTATTTTACTGACATTTCTTTTTTCGAAAATATATTGATATCAGCGGCCAATATGGAAAAAGTCAACGTTCCAACTATTGTCATTTGTAAATATAACTTTTTATTAATGTCCATGACGTAGTGATTTATTGTGTACTCAGCGTAGTGTATAGAATGATTGCATCAAGTTAACGAGCCATAAGATAGCTAACAATCCAGGAAACTGTACGCAGTGTAGTGTCTAGATTGATTGCATCAGGTTGACGGGCAATCGAGCTACCAACACAGGAAACTGTACCTAGTGTCACCAACCCAGGAAACTGTACCCAGTGTTACCAACCCAGGAAACTGTACTCAGTGTTACCAACCCAGGAAACTGTACTAAGTGTTACCAACCCAGGAAACTGTACTAAGTGTTACCAACCCAGGAAACTGTACCCAGTGTTACCAACCCAGGAAACTGTACCCAGTGTTACCAACCCAGGAAACTGTACTCAGTGTCACCAACCCAGGAAACTGTACCCAGTGTTACCAACCCAGGAAACTGTACTAAGTGTTACCAACCCAGGAAACTATACCCAGCGTTACCAACCCAGGAAACTGTACAAAGTGTTACCAACCCAGGAAACTGTACTCAGTGCCACCAACCCAGGAAACTGTACCCAGTATTACCAACCCAGGAAACTGTACCCAGTATTACCAACCCAATAAACTGTACTCAGTGTTACCAACCCAGGAAACTGCACCCAGTGTTACCAACCCAGGAAACATAATTGCCAGTAACTGTAACAAGAGAAAACCAGGTATCGATCACAACCAGCCTTGCAGAACAGACTCAAGAATTATCGATGGTGACATTGTGTTATATAGAATCTAGAACTATCGATGGTGACATTGAGTTATATAGAATCTAGAACTATCGATGGTGTCATTGTGTTATATACAATAAAGAACTATCGATGTGTCATTGTGTTATATACAATCTAGAACTATCGATGTGTCATTGTGTTATATACAATCTAGAACTATCGATGGTGACATTGTGTTATATAGAATCTAGTATTATTGATAGTGACATTGTAGTGTATAGAATCTAGAACCATCGATGCTGACATTGTGTTATATAGAATCTAGTATTATTGATAGTGACATTGTGTTGTATAGAATCTAGAACTACTGATGGTGTCATTGTGTTGTATAGAATCTAGAACTACTGATGGTGTCATTGTGTTGTATAGAATCTAGAACTATCGATGGTGACATTGTGTTGTATAGAATCTAGAACTACTGATGGTGTCATTGTGTTGTATAGAATCTAGTATTATTGATAGTGACATTGTGTTGTATAGAATTTAGAACTATCGATGGTGACATTGTGTTGTATAGAATCTAGTATTATTGATAGTGACATTGTGTTGTATAGAATCTAGAACTATCGATGGTGACATTGTGTTGTATAGAATCTAGAACTACCGATGGTGACATTGTGTTGTATAGAATCTAGAACTATCGATGTGTCATTGTGTTGTATACAATCTAGTATTATTGATAGTGTCATTGTGTTGTATTGAATCTAGAACTGCTGATAGTGTCATTGTGTTTTATAGAATCTAGAACTATCGATGGTGACATTGTGTTGTATAGAATCTAGAACTACCGATAGTGACATTGTGTTGTATAGAATCTAGAACTACCGATGGTGTCATTGTGTTATATAGGATCTAGTATTATTGATAGTGACATTGTGTTGTATAGAATCTGATATCAACAACTCGGTTTAAAAAGTTGCTGATGTTGTTGTGGAACACTATTGACCCATAGTCATGTATGTGTTTGTCTGTGTGTATGTGTGTGGGGGAGGGGGGGGGGGTAGAGAGGCAGAATAATTCACAGAAATACTAAGTTAGCGAGCGTGGGGGGGGGGGGGGTAGAGAGGCAGAATAATTCACAGAAATACTAAGTTAGCGAGCGTGGGGGGGGGGGGGGGGGGTAGAGAGGCAGAATAATTCACAGAAATACTAAGTTAGTGGGGGGGGGGGGGTAGAGAGGCAAAATAATTCACAGAAATACTGAGTTAGCGAGCGATGAAAATGATGTGAGTCGAGCAGAATCAATAGATTAAAAACAAATGGTCTGGTCGTGTTGGTCACCATACAAGGTGGTAACTGAGTCTGTTCCATTTGTAGGTTACTGCTGGAGTGAAGGGCGCGGGCCATGGCAGAAGATCTGAAGGAAGTACCGGTGGTGGCGAGGGGCGAGGAGAACAGGTGCATGAACTGGTGCTTGACGGAGTTCGACTCGGAGAGTATTGGGCTGGAGTATGACCGGCCCCAGGATCTGGTCACCTCACAGGTCAGTGCTCACATCTCTTTCATGTTCCATCGGCCGGACACATCGCATTTTTTTAAGTTTAAAAAACTGGTGGCTAATCGAAATCAAACGATTGCCGCCTTCCCTTAGAGAATGCACCGTTTTTGGTGGGTGTTAAACAGCTGTGTTAAAAAGCTGCTTGTTAACGGGTCCCCCCCCCCTGCTTGTCACGTTCGTGCTCGCTCCGCCGTCACGTTCGTGCACGCTGGGCCGTCACGTTTGTGCACGCTGGGCCGTCACGTTTGTGCACGCTGGGCCGTCACGTTTGTGCACGCTGGGCCGTCACTATAAAAACACGACCTCGGATTACGCTTCATCAAGATGCTATTGATAATTCAGGGGAGACGAATCAATAATTCAACATTGAAACACATTCTGCTAGTTTAGGGCGGTAAACTTTTCATTATCTCTCCTCCTGTGTCCGAAATCACAACCAGACCTAAATGACTGCTTGGTGTATATATATATATATATATATATATATATATATATATATATATATATATATATATATATATATATATATATATATATATATATATATATAAGGTGACTTGGTTTGGAGTGTAGTAAAGTTATATAAAAGGTGACTTGGAGTGTACTCAGGATATGTACGAGGTGGTCGTGCTAATGATATTAAAAAACTTATTTTACTAGCAGTAGGGCTAACTATAATGCAGGCATTCATTGCCATCGGTGACCTTTAAAGGTTGATCGATTGAGTTTCAGACAATTTCTTCTGGCTGTGAATCGGGAAGAAGGAAGACATGCACGTGATATGCTTATAACTACTGCGATGATTCTGCTGCAGTAAGGCGTCTGACCATTGCACGTGATATGCTTATAACAGCTGCGATGATTCTGATTTAGAATAAGAAAATGAAAGCTCATCCAAATAAAATAAAAACTTGTCTAAATGGAGATAAGCTTCGTGGCCATTTCGGAGGTTTTATCCAATGCTGAAGTGTGGGGAAAATAGGATTGGTGGCTTGGTGTTTGCTATAGACTTGCCAGAGTGAGTGATTTCCCTTAGGATGAACTGTCAAAAAACTCGGGACTAGATTAGTTTCCCAGACATGGAGATTTACTGGATGTTGTAGGCGGTAAGTCTTTCGTGGTCACACTAGTCTCACGACATCTCAACCTCATCACAACCAGGTCACAACCTCATCACAACCAGGTCACAACCTCATCACAACCAGGTCACAACCTCATCACAACCATGCCACAACCTCATCACAACCATGTCACAACCTCACCACAACCACAAGACGACCTCATCAGAACTAAGTCACAACCTCATGAAAACCGGTTCCCAGAAAGATGCGCAACGGAAAAAAAGCGTACGCAGAAAAAAGCGCAAACAGTAAAAATGCGCACACAGAAAAATGCGCACACAGAAAAAAGCGGAAACGGAATTTTTTTTGAGGCTATGATAAGATCAGTATTTTCAGCGATATATGGAGAACTTAAAGATACCGACCATTGTTGAAAATAATATGTTGGATGTTTTAAACGGATAAACTAAATTTTATTTAAAGTATAAAAATAAATAAAAAGGCATATTGGAATGTAGAAACACATTTTTAATTATGCAACCGGAAAAGTATTTAATGTCGTGACAAGAACGCAAAAAAAAAACCCACAATGACGTCCCATGTTTAAACTACGGAAAGTACACAAAACTAAGGGCTGCATCTTCCAATTTTAGAATATGAAGAAATGAACTATTTCATACAAATTTGGTTTAGATCTATAGATCTACCTAACAAGACGTACGCTATGAAATGTATACAATTTTTTCGGCCAAAACAAATACAAATTACTTTTTAAAAAGGCATAAATACTGTTGAACAGCCGGGTTTTTAACAGAATCATTTAAGTCTTTTAATCAGTGTGTGGATTTAATTAGTGCTGACTAATAATGTATATAATTTGATTTTTCTAATAGATAATGGTAGTCTATGTTATTTTAAATGTGTCGGATTTTTACCTATTTAATTATTTATTTGCATGGTCACTAATATCGTTCGACGTGTAGTAGAGAACATTACTTTTTGCCATTAACTATTTTATAAAATATTTTTTCACAAACCAGTATAACAGTAAAAAATATATAGGCCTGTAATTCAAATTTACCCATTTAAAGTCATTTACAGTCATTTAAAGTCAACTAGATCTATACGTGAGCGACGTTTTCCGAATTTTTTCCCCATCCGGACAGAAGCTCTCGGGTCAATCATCCGGTGTCTTCTAGACGCGGGGGCGTCAAGCGTTATGCAATATTGCGCTGATCTATCATTGATCATGTCCGACAGATCGAACGCTGAATATTGAAGCTCGCTTACACTCGTCAGCTGATGTACTGGAGAGAGAGGGAGAGATGAAGGTGGGGGACGGTTCTGGCTAAGTCAGCGAATATTGAGTCGGTCTATCTACAGCTACCATCCTACATACAGCAGTTGACCATTGCTGGACTACCATCCGACACACAACAGTTGACCATTGATGGACTGCCATCCTACATACAACAGTTGACCATTACTGGACTACCATCTTACATACAACAGTTGACCATTACTTGACTACCATCCTACATACAACTGTTGACCATTACTGGACTATCATCCTACATACAACAGTTGACCATTGCTGGACTACCATCCTACATACAACAGTTGACCATTACTTGACTACCATCCGACACAAAACAGTTGACCATTGCTGGACTACCATCCTACATACAACAGTTGACCATTAATTGACTACCATCCGACACACAACAGTTGACCATTACTTGACTACCATCCGACACAAAACAGTTGACCATTACTGGACTACCATCCTACATACAACAGTTGACCATTACTTGACTACCATCCGACACACAACAGTTGACCATTACTTGACTACCATCCGACACAAAACAGTTGACCATTACTGGACTACCATCCTACATACAACAGTTGACCATTATTTGACTTCCTTGAAACGATGAGATTGTCATCCACACACAATAGTGTGTCAATGACAGTCACCCACCGAAAATTTCAAGTGCCCCCCCCCCCCCCCCCCCCCGAGAAAAAATTCTGGAATAAACACTGTTCCGGTTGACTTTAGGTTGAGGGCAGTTTGTGAAAATATTTTAATTGATAAATTAATTCTAAACGGCATTTCAACGGCTTCTTTTCGATACAAAAATATAAAAATGAGTGTAATCGATGGTTCCCAAACGGCTTTGATGTTTAGAAATGTAACTATAATTTTATCGTTTGCCATATTCTTAATTTTTTTTTAAAATTTGGTATTATTACATCGACTTTTCATGCATATTGTACTAGTTACACGTTATATAAAGCTAAAGAAAAAATGTTGAATGTATCTGTGAATGTGATAAAAATTATCTAGTTACACGTTATATAAAGCTAGAGGAAAATGTTGAATGTATCTGTCAAGACAATGTTTAGACGACCTGGCCAGATGATGCATGTTTAATCCCAGTGTTGATGAACTCTCAAACCGCTCGTCTATATGCACGTGCTGGCGGCTTGGATAAATATTCGTCTTTGTGTGTGTGGATTGTATTGCTTGTCTTGTAGACAAGGGTTATACACGTCTAGGAAAGTCATTCATATTTTAAGACGTCCTCAAGATTGTAGCACCTCCTTAATATTGTAGGACGTCAGTAAGCTTGTAGCACGTCCTTAATATTGTAGCACTTCCTTAATAGTGTAGCACTTCCTTAATTATGTAAGACGTCCTTAATATTGTAGGACGTCCTAAGTATTGTAGCTCTTCCTTCATATTGTTGGACGTCCTTAATATTGTAGGACGCCCGTAAGATTGTAGGACTTCCTTAATATTGTAACACTTCCTTAATATTGTAACACTTCCTTAATATTGTAACACTTCCTTAATATTGTAGGACGTCCTATTTGAGTTGTAGATCAACAGTTGGTAAGTTAAATGAACAACACCCGGCCATTGAGTGATATCTGAATGACATTAACCCAATCACCCTGTGGCTTGATATGTAAATGGAGCTAAATGTTTGTTAACGAGTGGAAATGTCCCTACCCTGGAATGATGGGAGAAAACGTGTTTCTTGAGACGACATCAGGATATCAACTGTGTTGTTTTTTTTTTTTGGGGGGGGGGGAGTGGAGGGGGTGGAGTCGTGGGCTTCGTAGGTCGGGAGAGCTGCATCATGTACAGTTGTGTGGTGGGGGGAAGGAGGTAAACAACAGCCCCGCCATCCACCATTATCAATTCCATTGCGCACTTGAGGTGTTGTTTTAATCATTTCAAACTGGAACTAAAGCTTCACATAACTCATTTTTCCCAACATATCAATTTCACGCGATGAATGCTTTAAAAAATCTTCCAAGTTGAGACGACTAGTTTTTAAAAGCAAAACGATTTATCTGAAACAGAAAAAATTAATCTCGCTGCTCCAGATCTTACCATATCTCACCGAGAGCCGAGGCTAAAAGCAAAACAAAAAACTTTGTTCGAAAAACATCAGAAACAAAAGTTAAGTTTCGTGTCAAAGAATTTAAAATTTCAATTTTAAGAAATGGAAGTTTTATTGTTCTAGTTCTAAATTCATTTGACAATACATTGTTTCTTTAAAGAAACCCTAGTCAAATAATTTCCCTGAGCGTCGAATAGGAATAAATGAAATCTACATTTCTTATTAGAATATTTGGCTAAACATCAGTGTACCCCCTCTCCTCTTCTTTAACAAACAGAGAACTCAAGTTGTAGAGAAGTTGTTGGCTGGTCAAGAAAGTTCTGGGCAAGTCGAGTTAAAGACAAGTTGTTGTCTTGGTGGTTCTAGTTAACTCGTTGTCTCTTGGCCACCAGCTGCAGTAGCCTGGTGTTGCAACGACATCAACATGCCAGAAATACGGAGAAATTGAGAGTGGCAAATCGACGGTAGCCAGTGGAGAATTGACGCTAGATGATGAGCTAATACAGAT